GCTAGAAAATGCAAGGATTCAAGGTGGACTAGTAAGGACGATGGGGTATATGTTTGGCAATTTCAAATGCTACAACTGCCGATGGAGCTGGAGCTCTACGCAATGCAGCACTGAAATCATTTATGGCTACAACTTGCACGAACAGCAAGCTGAACTTGAGATTGCATACGAATTTGGACAGGCTTGCCGACGATGCAACAGCTATGTTTCACCTGTTTTCGACCAAGAAGCAACGGACAAAGCTATGTCAAAAGCAGTCGAGCGCATCCAGAAGGTCATGTATAACATGAAAGAGCCTGGAAACGAATCATCGGAGCGTCATTCGCGAGCTAGGGACCGAAGAGAAGCCCATGATTTTTACAGATGTGAAGCGTGCTGGCTTGGTATTTGCAATTTTGATCCATATAGGATACCGCGACACGACCCGGAGACTTGTGGAGCATGCTTTGAAGGTGTCTGTACTTTAAAGAAAACTGAAGGATGGAAAAGATGTGGAAGGAAGAAGAAGAGCGGAAAAGGGAAAAGGAGGATTCGATATGAGGGAACTCTAGCGTCTATTTCATGGGCGTTTTACTATCGGGGCCAGTTTGCCGGGAATATATCGGCTCCTAATGGAGAGACCTCGAAAGAGACGACTTCAAACAAACAAAAAAGAAAGAGAAAGAACAAAAAGAGAGCGAACAAGTCACAAGAACAAGGGAAGACACATGCGCAAGCCAACTGAAGTTAATCCTCTGAAAAATGAAACCGGAAGTTTCTTAAGTTTTTCAAAAGTGTGCCGTAGTTATTCGGAAATATGACGTTCATGTAGTCTTTTTCATATGATATTCATACTGAACTCTCATTCATTTGATTCCAAACATTCAAAATTAGAAGTACCCCTTTTTTTGAAGATCAGTTGAGTAACTTCTGAGAAACTAATACTTTTTGCAAAAAATGAAAAAAAAAAAATTCCGTCGTTTCAAAACATCGTCTCGTAGTGAAAACGTCTCAAAACGAAAATAAATCGAAACAAGGATAGCCGGTCACTCTGCATGTAGCACGGAATGTTCCGACCAAAATCTTATAGAACACAGTTTTTTTTTTCAAATTAGTTTAGTTTTTTTCTCTCTGGTGTGATAAAAAGATCTGACCAAAAGAACTAAAGGAGTTTTAGACAAGTGCTTTAAACTACAATTTATATGTATTGTCAATTAAACTTCTTCGGATGCATGTTAGGCTCGTGCTGTGACCCGATTTTGGTAAGATGTCAAAACAATCTAATATTAATAAAGTTAATTGCAAAACCAAGCAACTGGTCTCAATATTGGTGGTAAACTATTGTGTCAAACTAAAAACTTTGTGTCAAACTATTTTTTACCAAATATGAACAGGCAGTTTGATTAATAAAATAGCATAATGTCAAATTCAAGAGAGTTCAGCAGTACGCCCTCAGATTATCAAAGTTCAAAGTCATGACATTTATTGTAAACGTCACACTTACTCCCTCGAAATAACTTCCCCGCCACTTTTTTCAGTTTTTCTAAGATTCCAACAGAACTGCACATCATCACGTCGATATTCTCTTTTGTGAGGTTTCAAAATGCAGATATTCCGGTTACCATGATCTTCTGGCAACAACTGACGAGGACCCTTTTCTGCTGTTGGTACATCGATTCTCTGCTTTTTTGAACATGTAATATCCTCAATGAGTGGGGTTCGATTTTCACAAAGAGCTCGTATTGAATGTACAATTACGCCGAAAATATCGACAAAAAGGACAGGAATAAAATGTTTCCATTCGAAGATCTCATTATTTCGCACAATGACCTGATTCACATTGCCGGGATATTTAGCCGGTTGCTAATCACTTGAGGCAAACTTCGTTCTCAATTAAACTTTTCAGTGCTGGTCCAATTTTTTTCTGCGGGGAAATTGTCAATGATAAATTGTTGAAAATCATGCCTGAATAGAAATTGTCTTGATATCGTGAATTTGTGACATCGCAGCTTTGACTGTCACCATATCGGATAGTGCTTTAGACTACCATTTATATATACTGTCACTATAACTTCTTCGGATGCATGTTCGGCTCATGCTGGGTCCCGATGTTGTTAAGATGTCAAAACTTTCTAATATTAATAATTTTTACTGCAAAACCAATCAAATTATGTTGGGAGTATAATTTTGGGTCAAACTTTTTTTAATCAAATATCAACAAACAGTTTGACTGATAATATAGCAAAAACGATTTCAGATTATCAAAGTTCGAAGTCATGACATTTAATCTAAAATGTCACACTACACTTGGGCATATTCGACAGTCATAGTAAAACAAGCAAACCGTACAACAGTTCTTGAAGAAACATGACTAAAAAAAATTGCATCTCATTTTTAAAACCTAATTCTAACTTTGCTGTCTAAAATTTCCCAGTTTTTCTGTATGACAAAGCCATATGGTTTGATTTTCCTGCATGCTGAAACTTTTCTGTATATTAAATTTCCTAGGCGAAAAAAGGGAATGACTTAGTTTCTACCGAGGATTTTAGTTTCAAGATATCTCAGCGGCGGAAGAAAAAATCATCATTAAAATCATCGGGTTTCCCATGCATTTTTTTGGAACTCATAAATGCTTGTTTTGATAATAGGAAAACTGGGTCCTTAAATGGATAATATTGTTGTCTACACAATAATATTTCCTTAAATCTGTTTTCATTAGTCTGAATGCTCGAAAAAATGGTTAACTTGTTCTATAGCTGGCAGCCTACACTGTCAAAAACCTACGATACTGTTTTTGTGTTCCTTTTGAAAACTCGCATGATGAAATTTGATCTTCCATGTCTTGAGCCTAAACTGTTAGTCATTTAAACATTGAGGAAAAGATTCTGTCTGTGGACACGCTTCAACAAAGTCTAGCATTTCCTTTTATACAGAAAACCAGTGAAGATCGTGGAGATGGACGCTGGGACTGTATAGCCCATAAACAAGGTTGATTTTTAAGCGTGCTGCACAAATTTGAATATCGAATTGGGTTAGATAACGCTTCAATATCCAATTGAAGCATGATCTACCCCAATTAGAGCAAACTGGATCTCAGCAGGTAATGCCAATGCGCGTAATGTAATCAGGTAATGTAATGCCAGCGTATAAGGCTAATTCGACAGGTGATTTTTTGCAGACTAGGTTAAATTTTTGATTTTTTTTTCAAGTTCAATTTAAATTTATTAGCTTAAAATATAAGTGAAGCAAATTACGCTCTCCAATTGTGGTTTCTAGAGAAAAAAACGGAAATTTTCTATTTTAATTTTTTAAGTCACTTCAATTTTTTTAAACTGTTTTCAGTTTAACCGAAACATTCTGTCCTACTTGCGCAGCAACCGGCTATTCTTGTAAATTATTATCGTCGGCAAATGAACAATTAGGCATGCTGGCAAGCATCTGACAAAATTTTTAATGTTCATAGTAAAAGCAGAATCAGGACAGACATCAGTAGGACACGACAGCTAATTGCTCGCCAAAGGGAGCTGATACTTGAGCTTTCACTTTTTTGCCTAAAAATTCCGAAAAACTCGAAAAATTTTCAAATGTAATATCACCTAATATAGTACTTCGTTTTTCTTCGTAAGATATAGTGATTTTTAACGCACGTTTTTCTGAGATTTGGAACAAGGCTCATTTTTATCTCGATTTTTCATGACCGGTTTTTGAATCACATTCCATTTTGCACACAAATCTAAATACTTGCGATAGCAAAGGTCTATTATTTCTTTACATTCAACTTTCATATGATTTACTAAAATAATTTAAAGAGTGCGATAAGAATCAATTAAGCTTTTGCAAAATCATCGGGAAAATTTTTCTCCGAAAGGTACAATCTAAGTGTATAAGCACTGATAATATCACAGATAGTTTCATTTTTATAATAACTTTACGTGATAACTTGTGGTGGCTTATTTACCAAAAGTGAGAATATTTTGGCTGAAAAACGAGCGGCTTACACGATTGCACCTAACTGAGACCGAAATTATAATTGCGAATAACTTAAAGAAAAAAAAACATTTTAAATGTCTTCGCTTGATGGTTTTTATTTGAAGTTAATATGTGAAACGAGTTGGGGGTTTCAGTACAATCTCGATATCATTGCATTCTGATGCTGAGATTCCGTATTAAAGTAGAGACATTATTTCAGTTAAAACGTTATCAGTAAACTACCGCAAAAGCCAATGAACTTGATTTTTTTGGTGTTTTACGATATTTAGGAGAATGTTGAATGATCTTCCTAAATTTTATGCAAATTCGAAGGCATGGAATATATGACTTCCATATCTAGTGTGACAAAATGCACACTTCAACTTATTATGACCATTTTTTGAATGTACTTCCGTTCTATTTATACACAAAAAAAAATGTTTGTAATAATAAGTTCATTTTGCTCTACCTAACGCATAAAAATGTGCTAATCTTAGCGAGCAATTTAGTAGCATGTAGTTAATCCATCTTGCTAGAACGCCTGGTATAGAAATGAGCCTCGAATTAGTAAAAAAAAATGTCTACGTCTCGGATTCGATCTGCGACTAAGAGATTATCAGTCTCAGGCACCAATCACTCAGACACGGACGCTTCATAAATCGCAAACACTAGCCACAAACAAAGCAGAGATCAGATGCTATGCAATTTCTAATGCTACAATGAAATTTCCAAATAAGTGAACATTTTTAATAAACACTTTTATCTGCGAGTTAGCTACAAAACTTAGTTTTTCACAGCTTTATAAGACCTTCTAGCTTGCTTTAATCGCTCAAAATTAGACTAAAAATCAAAAATGACGTTTGTATCGAGTCTTCTTTTCAAATTTCGTTCTAATCGCGATTGAAAAGGCTCATATATGATATAACACTCGACCCATACCGATAATTATTTGTGTTAACTAATTTAGCTCGGATAAAAGTAAAACACACCCAAACACAAAGGAACAAAAAAAATATTAGAAACGCGTATAGACCTAAATAAAAAAGACTTGCCTTGGTGTAGCATGTTTAGAGTGAGTATTTCATTTTGCCTTGTGATCACTTTCTCAGTCTTCTCTCCAAACACTCTGAACAGCACCATATCTTTGTGGCTGATGGGGGAGGGGTCACTCTTCAGATGGAACCCAAACACCTTGTTGGTGATGCCATCGTCGAAGTTCTTCACCAACACTTCGTCAGCTGACGATTCATCACACCATTCTGGCTAACAGGCTCAACTGTTTCCTTGTTCATTTTTAAAAAAGTTATTACACAAAGGCGAACCGACACTTCGCAAACACATGCAAAAAATGGCAAAAGAGCTTTATAATTGCAAGAAAATACAAAAAAAAATTAAGTAAGCTTTGAGAAAAAGAATTTGTCGCCTACAGGATTTGAAACCCGGGTCTCCAAACTGCGCCATACCACATTCCTGTCTTCGTAACATCAGCAACCAGTAAACTTATCCGCATGAGTTTTATGCGCTTCACTCGTGGCTGATGTTTCGAAGACAGGAAAATGGCATGTATGGCGCAGTTCGGAGATCAGAGTTTTAAATCCCGTAGGCGACAAAATCTTTTCGTTTGGAAACAGATACTAAAATTGAGCGCTTTTGCTGAGCCATAATTTATGCCAGTTGGAGATTGGAAAAAAATGAACTCGAATCAACTAAATTGTAAACTTGGGAGCTTTGTCTGCCAAAATCAGTGAGAAAAAAAACGATAATTACACACAAAAACATCAAAGTACTCTATTCAATTAATTCCATAAAATAAAAATGTTTTAATCAAAATAAATTATTTGTTGTGAATGCTGGAACTATTTTTATAGAATCAGTGCCTTGATCTGTCTGAGGATATGTAAGGCATCTTTGGAGGCACAGTCCAGAGTCAATTCGACGTCCGGCAGAGATATAGGGGGCATAGAGGACCCAGAGGCGCAGAACGAGGTCATGTCAGAATAAAAATAGATATATAATACGAAGGGCTACCAAAGCATACAAAATCTAAACTAATCTGAAACAAATAGCAGCACACATTGTAAGAGGTCTATAAACTTATATATTTGATAAACTAATCTCAGATGCAAACAAACAGTTGAGTTGAGTAAATACCTTTTTAAAGTTCACCTTTGACACAGAGTCAAAGCTGAGCTTTGCGCCACTTGCGATACAAATATGAAAACAGAGGCAAAGCTGCGCTTCGCAAACAAAAGCGAAGAAAATGCAAAAAAGAGCTCTAAACAGGCAAAACAAAATGATACGGAAAAGATAAAAAATACACTTTGAAAAAAAATTGTTGAGATTAGAAATATCAAGTTCGCATATCTGCTCCAGATGAAACCCATCTGACGTTGCAAATTTTACTAACACTAGCCACCAATAAAGCAGTTACAGTTTCTACCAAATTGCCAATGTTATGCAGCAAAAATATTGATATGTTCCGGATTTGAACATCAGACCTCTTGATTAAGAATCTCACATCCTCGCATCTGCCTCACGGCTGCTTAGGAGTACACTAGAGGCCCAGCTAATGCTGGAGGCCCACCACTTGCGATACAACACGATCATAGAACAGGCAAAGTCGAAAAAATGAAAAATCTTGAAAAAACTAGTTGAATCAAAACTTTCGTATGTCTCGATGAAGTACACCAAGGGCCCAGCTAAAGTTGGACGTACGTGTTTGACACTTTATGATGATTTTACTATAGTGATGCGGGACGAAATGCGTAATTTCAAAGCTTGGACTTTGCCCAAAACCTTCGTTGTTTCTCCACAAAAGTAAATGAGAAAGAAAAATTATAAAATTTTATAATATTACCAAAAACATTAACTATCTAACAAAAAAGTAAGGAGTAGCCGCTTTAGCAGGAAAACCTCGCGCAACCGCTTTCTTCGATTGAAATTTTCATCTCAGATTTGATAGAGCAGTTTTTAAGAAAATTCTAAAAACGGGGTCAAAGTTCAAAAACTTAACTTTCCGAAATCCGTACATTTTTTGTTGAAAGCAGACCGTGGCCTGTCAAGCAGAGAAGACTCCCATAACCTGGTTATTCGACTGAAATATTAACCTGAGATTTGGCACCGTATTTTTCTAGTAGACATTAAAAAAAACTTCCAAAAAACGGTCAAAGTTTCAAAACTTTCACTTATTTGAAGTCCATAACTTTGATGTAAAAAACCTGGGAGTAACAACTTAGTGTGTCAATCAAACCTATGACATCATACTTGGTAAAATAGTTATCGCGAAAATTCCAAAAACGTCAATAAATCAAGAAGTTGACATTTCCGAGAATCACAGCTTTTTGTTTAAAAGAAAATTGGGCGTAACCACTTGAGCAAAACAGATTCAACAGATTTTTTCTGAAAAAAATTATCAAGTTTACTATATAAGTTTACTCACTACGTTCATTACTTTCAAACAACCTCAGAATCAGCAAGTTTATTTTAGAAAAAAAAGAATAAATTTACAAAAAACGGTCAAAAGTTCAAAAACTAGACAATTTCTAAGAGCATATTTTTTTTCAAAACGCAGGGCATAGCCGCTTGCGCAAGAAAGATTCGCATAAAAAAATTTTTTGGTCAAACCCTGAATCTCCAATTTGGGCGGGTAGTTTTTGAGATGGGTTTGAAGCCATAACTTTTTTCAACCGAATTTAGGGAAAAACAGCTTGGGAGGTGGAGATCCCCATAGCTTGTTCTTTTGATTGAAACCTGCATCTCAGATATGTGGATTTAATTTTTGAGAAAATGAAAAAATTTGAAGCAAAGAGGCCAAAAATCTAGCTACTGAAAGTAAGGCCGCAGAAAAGGCCGCAGAAAAGGAGGTAAAATGAGAAGAGATGAGCAAAAAATGTAGGCCCATAGAAGAGCAGCCGGTTTTTACATTTTTTTGAAAACCGGTAATGTAGTTCATGAGAAAAATAGAAATTTCGGCGAAAAAAGCAAAAAAAAATTTCCAAACCGCTGCAAAAAACAAACAACAAGTCCCAAACAAAACACATGTTTTTTTTTCCAAAACGGAACCTAACACTAGCCGAAAACAAAGCAGCAACAAAAGCCATTAAATTGTTGTTGGTTAAATAAGCTTAATTATGACTAAATTGAAATATACCAAAAGTGCCACCAAATGAGCGCCTCTATTTGCAACTTAATTAGAAAAACAAAATTCTTCATAATAATACACTACGCTTCGCATGACTATGATTAAAATCGAAAGCCCCAAATAGCCGGAAAAAAATTGGCTGCATTATAAGGAACTTCATAAAGAGGTTTGGAATGCTAGAAACAAACCGAATTTTCAAAAAAAAAGTTTTTTCTGCGGAACTAAGTCGACAGACATAAGCATACCGACAAAAATCTACATTAACCGAAAATTTTCTATTTGCAAAAAAAAACAGGTTTCGACTGGAATTGAACTCCCAGGATCTGCCGTCTCAAGCATGGGCGTTACAGCAACTTGGAAGAAAGCTGAATCTTAAAAAAGTTCGGGTTAGGGACTAAGCCGGCAAAAACAAACAGACGGACGATAGCCCGAAAAAGCACAAAAAACCAAGTTTGCAAAAGAAACAGGTTACGGCCGCATTCGAAACGCAATCTTTTGCGATCTCAAGCAGCTGTGTTACCTCTCCGACAGATGCGCTGGATGGTTGATTGAATTTGAATTTTTAATAAGCAAGCGGTAACAAAGCCGAAAATTCCTGAGCAGAAACCTTTCATGCCGTAAAAATTCAAAAAAAAATTCTAAACTAATCAAAAAAAATGTTGTCCTTTTTCCCCAGTGCACACAAACGCACATAAAACATTTGTCTGTCCCCAAATGTTGCATTAAGAGGCCACTCGGTCGATATAAATTAAGCTGAAACTTATTAAACCGATAAAAAAAATGAAATATTTACAATTTGAGTTGCTAAAATTACAACCAATATTTAAAACAAATTTCGAGTCGTCTGGATTTCTAAATGCTAAAACACTTAAAACCACTAAACTGAGAGTTGTTTACAGCAAAAAAAACGATTCTTATTTGGATGTATAGTTAATTACTCTTGCGATAAGCAAGGGTATTGCAATCGGGTACCAGACTTTGTTTCCGTAAATAACTTACAGGACTCCTGGTGGTACCTTGGTTCATAATGAATTCAAATTTTTGAGTGTCTCCCGCTCACTTAGCCTGGAGGTAACGAATACGCCTGTGAAGGCAAAGGTCCTGGGTTCCAGTCTGACAAGGATCTGTTTTTTTTTCAAGCGGTAGTTATTTCGGTTCAAAAAAACAACAGGCAGACAAATAACAGGCCGAATTTTTTTTGAACCGAAATAACTACCGTTTAAAAAACAACAGATCCTCGTCAGAGACTTGAACCCAGGACCTTTGCCGTCACAGGCGTATTCGTTACCTCCAGGCTAAGTGTGCGGGAGACACTCAGAAATTTGAATTCATTATGAACCAAGGTACCACCAGGAGTCCTGTAAGTTATTTACGGAAACAAAGTCTGGTACCCGATTGCAATACCCTTGCTTATCGCAAGGGTAATTAACTATACATCCAAATAAGCAATGACGAGTGATTTCTCCAAAAATAAATAGAGAAATTGTCAAGAGACAAGTCCCTCTTGAAACTACTAAGAAAGACAAATCAGTGCACAACCAAAATCCGTGATGTGACAACTTAACCAACAACCCTTGAGCAGACAAACATTTTAATTGTTTATTTACAGAAAAAAAACAAGGTCCGGCCTAGACTCCAACCCAAAGCCTTGGTGCAAAAGCGACGGCGGCACCTCTAGGCCAAATGGGAAAAAGTAATTTAGGGAGGGAAAAGTCTAGTTCCCGATTACAAGACACTGGCTCTCGCAAGTTGAATTTCGATCCGTTGAATCCAACTTCATACAGAGGCAAAAAACTTCGCAAACCTAAGCGGATAGCACAGACAAAAACCTGGCAAGCGGTTGATATGAAAGCATATATTTACAAAGAAGTTAAAAATATATTCGACGTTGATACAGTACAAAACAGGTATTCGAGCGGATTAATTATTCCCAGAAAAATTTTCGAACAAGGAAATCTCCAAACACATTTCTTTGACATCTTTATTTTCCGATGAGCAATTTGATATTTTTCAGACGCTTATAACCTATGCCAAGAATCCCCGTGAAAATCAGATAAATTTTAATACCCAAGGCGCCGTCAAGTTATTAGGGTTGGCCATCTTTAGGAGGCCGTTGACTTTTGAAATTAGGCTATTGACGCGTTTCGATCAGCTAAGTATATGAATTTTTCAATAGAAAGCATTTATGCTGTCAAAGAAATGGAGCATCTTAGATCTTAGTCACATGAAGCATCTAAGTAAAAATTGACAATACCCGGAACAAAATCGGTTTCCAAAAGAAAAATGCTCAATTGAAAAAAAAAAGACTTCATGGTCCAGATTGGTTCTGAATAATGCAAATTCCTTAATTTTACATAAGTTAGAACATATTGGCGCCGAGAAAGCCTTAAAAACTTGAGAGTCATTCGCCGAAAAATCGTAACCAATGGGTGATGAAAGGATAGTAGTCCCGAAGAGGAGGCCTCCGCCTCTAATTCAGCTTATGTACATTTTCACTTCGCTTTTGGAAATAAAACACTCTTTCAAATTCAATTTCCAAGAAAACTATTCATTATTTATCATTAATTATAGTCACATACCCACATTCCACTTTTTAAAACATACATTTTATTTAATTTAAGTAAATATCTTAAGTTGCTGCACCTTTTATTTGACAATTGCAGAAGTTTCTGCTTCTTATCTAACAAAAGAAGGTTCACAATGAGGCCTTGTCCTCATTAGTCTTGACCAACAACTGGTCTAGAGAATCAGTAGTCTGGGCCACTACTCTCGATGAACAGTATCTGGACAAATCTTGCACTTTGCCACTCTCCAATTCTCTTTCTATCTCACATTTGATCCATCTCATTGTTTCCTTCATGCCTTCTGCTAGCCTTACTTTCGGTTCCCAATTTAGTTTCTCCTTAATCAAAGTGTTGTCGCTGTTCCTTCCGCGCACTCCTACGGGTCCCTCGATATGCTTAATTGGAAGATTGGATTTCCCACATAAATCCAGGGCCAGTTTCGCGAACCCATTCATCGTTATCATTTCTGAGGATCCCAGGTTCACAGGAACGTCTAGGTCAGGACAATCCATGATCTTCCTGATTCCAGTGACGCAGTCATCTATGTATATGAAGCTGCGGGTCTGTTCACCATCGCCCCACATTTCAAATTCTGTCTCGGAGCAAATCTAAAAACCAGCGTTAGCACCAGGAAACATTTCGCGAAATCAAACTTTAATTCAATCAAAGAAATATGTAGAAATCATTATAAAATAACAATTTGTTTTTCAAGCCAACAACTCATTACCAAGCATTGTACGAAATCGTTTGAATAAAATTGATTTGACTCGGGAAATTACCAAAAAGGAATTAGGCTGCCATGTAGAATCTCCATGAACAAGTTTTTTCGCTTACTTGTTAACTTACATCATATATACAGTATCCAAAAAAAAACAGAACGCAAAAAACTATTGCAAATAATCGAGAAAAAATTTGAAAACAAAGACACAGTTTTGAAGGCGTAATTTAGGAATTATAGCATACAGAGGCGAAGCTTCGCTTGGCAAACACTTGCGAGAAAATGCAGCTCTCCCAAAAAAAACGAAAGAAAAAAATCGCGACCTATTTAAGAATCTGAACTACGTTTATCGACTCTTAAATAAAAAGTGTCGTAGTCAAAAATGTAGATGTCTCACTAAAAAGTGTTAATAGTTCGTGAGTTTAGTGTTTGTGCACTTAAGAAGTGTTCGTAGTCACAAATGAAGATGTCTCTCATATTATGAAAGAACGAGTCCAAAGACGCATTGGTATTTGTTAATGCTTCAAAAAGAATTTCTCTGTTTAATTGTACAAATCTATTATATACACAGAGAAAAAGGAGCCTCGCAACACTTGCAATACCACACAAATATAGCACTGTCAGCTATCTGACAGAACTTGGAATAAAAGCACTAACTAGAAAAATTGAAAACACTTCGAAGAAACAACCTACAGAAATGTTGTCTAGAATGATACTAAATTTGGGGAAAACACATCCAGAGAACAAAACTCCGGCATATCATATACACTCAGAAACAGTTTTTGAGCAAAAACTATGCCGACAGACAGAAGTTGGTTAAAACCACGTTGAGCCGAAAACAAAATTTTGATGATAGATAAAAATTTGAATGTTCTGTTCCTTGAGGGGAAAGCGTAAAGTTCAAAAATTTCAGAAAACAAGATCTAATTTTATTTTCAAACGACGCGACATTGGTTCATTAGTACCAAGCGAAACAATTGAAGCCAAATGAAGCTTTTCAGTGAAAATAAAAACATAAATTAAATAGCAGAAAAAAAATTAGTTTTAATAAACTTACAAGGATGAAATGAAAAACACTTTCAATTACAAAGAAAATTGCTTACAACACAAGATACATCCATAACAAAGCAACTAAGATAACAAAACAATGACAAATAATAGGCGAACAAGTTTATGAAATGGAATTTTTTCCCGTTTGAAAAAAATTGTTCCTGCCTAGATCCGAACCGAGGACCTTTGCCGTCGCAGGCTTTCTGGTTCCCTTTAGACGAAAATGCCAGAAAAGCTGGAAAACTTGAACTCAAAATAAATAAATCAATCAATCAAATGATTCAACTGATTTGGTTAAATATGTTTTTAATTAGAAAAAAGTCTTCAGTTTACTTTTTTTCTCTTGTAGTTAATATAATGGACTACAACTGGTCTAGAGAACATATTTAACTTGCTGTCAATAAGAAGCAAGTTAAATCATTGCTTCTTATTGTTTATGAAATTAGAACATATAGACAAATAGACAAAAATTGAGCTGGTAGAGCTGATAGACAAAAATTTGTTCGCTTCTCTGGTCTGATTAATTTGGACTACACTACAAGCAAAGGTTATGTACATTTTCACTCGAGATTTGGTCTATTCTATTGTCTTCTTTCTAAGCTTTCCAGTTTTTTTTCAACTCAAAATAAAAAAAAACATTTAATATCACTTATTAGCGATCCACTCACCGCCTTGCGACAGAATGCGGGTGGGGCCTTCTCCCTCCCGCCCTTCCAAGAACCTTTAGGTCCATACACATTGTGGAATCTGGCACAGCGGAACTGCAGTCCAAAGTCCCGCATATATGCCAGTCCCATCTCCTCGCTGTAGAGTTTCTCCAGTCCGTAGGTGTCTTGTGGTTTGGCGGGCCACGCGTCGCTTTCCTTCAGACCCGGATTGGTCGTCTCCATCTAGAAAAGATAAACTGTTTCTCCTAATGTTTGTTGTTTATGTCATTGACATCACAGGCTGATACTAATGGCTTATTAATTGAAAAGTGGACGAGAAAATTGTAATATATTCCATTATAAAAATATAATTTTGATAATCACAGGGAAAATTTCAAAAGTCAATTAGCGTTTGTTTAGTCTATGCACTTCGGCATTAACCAAGAAACCGCTAATATATTCATTGAGACTGACTCAGACTTACCGGTTGGACAGTTTGAGCTTGACAATCATTTGGGAATAATAATATTTTAAGGGTTGTTAGCATAACTGTAAAGAATTGCTTTAGTAACAAAAAAGAATGTTTCAGAGCAATTGAGTTCCACCCGTCATTGAACTCGATACAAATGGTTGAGAGAAGTAGAAGTAGCCTAATGACCTAAACCTGTTTGTGTTCATTATAGACACAGGCAGATGAGGCGTAGAAGTATCTGTTGACAGTGTGCAGATGTCTCCTCGCACTCTCCAGCATGTTTGTTGAGATGAGGGTGTTGTTGAACATGAGGACACTCTGGTTGCTCTTGATGAAGCCCATCCCGCCCATGTCAGCCGCCAACATGTACACCTCACTACAGCCCTCGGTCAACTAACAAACAAAAACAAGCAATATAATAGGGGGGGGGGGGGAGGTTCTCATGCTTGAAGGACCGAAAGCTTGAAAAGTTTCAACCTATCAAAATCGCTAAGCGTTCCTATTGGCTAAATGCCTTTCTCACAAAATCAGAGTCAATATTAACAGAAAATGTTTTAAATAATCAAAAATATTACAAATTGCATATGGACTTTCAGATAACAGTGAATCATTAATCCGAAAAGTAAAGACCATTAAAAGGAACCAAACATCAGTTAACGAGTTATTACGTAATAAAGTGTCAGTTTAATAAAAAAAAAGCGGCTGTCGAATGATAGTAATCCAGGATGCCAACAAAACAATTTAGCAAACCAGGCAGTAACCTTCTGAATTCAGGCTACCAAAAATTAATAGGGTGGGTGTTTAGAGTCTGATACTAAGGCAAAGCTGCACTTCGCAAACACAAACGATAAAACGGCAAAAATTAGCTCTACACAAGCAATAAATAAAAAGTAAAACTGCGAAAAAAAATTTGTCTTGTGCCGGAATCAAACACCTGCCCTGGAGATTATGAGCCTCACCTCCTAGTATCTGCACCACGGTCGTTTGCAAATTTACTAAAAATAGCCAACAAAAGGTAGCTACAAATGCTATTAAATTGCCAATTCTAGGCAGCAAAAATGCCACCAAACAAAACTAAATATGTTGCTACGTTACGGAACCGACCTGAATATTAGGCGCTTTACCTCCTCGCATTTGCTCCACAATTGCTGGAAAATTAACTAACACTAGCCAGAAACAAAGCAGCTACCAGTGTTTTGAACACATTATACAAAAAATTAAACGAAAAAGCCCTTATAAGATATACGAAAGGTTATACGAAAGATCAGATTTATACGATAAATTAGCGACTCTTTTTTTAGTGAGACAAAATTTTTTCATTGATTACTGCAAGATGATCAATATTAGGGGCGGCTCAACTCCCAGCATAAAAAATTTTCTGAGAGCAATCAGAGGTTTCGGGCAAAAAATATAATCGAGCATCAAAAACAATCTAAAACGCTTTGAGCGGTTGCTATAATTGTCATATTCCGATCACATTTTTGTGCGAGATGTAATAGGAAAACTATATAAACGAGTGGAAAGTTAGCGAATTAGACATAATCGACAATATTTCTCTCCAAAAAATGAGCAAAAGAATTTGTTTTTTAATTTTGTTCCGACCAGATTTTGCGTATGAAACAAAACAAAACTAAAACACACCAAGTTCCTTCTCACTTTCAGTGGTCGAAGCAGGAAGAGCTCAAATAGAAATTAAAGATGACCATTACAGCGTTAATGAAAAATCGGTAAGGAGAAGCAACGAAAGAAAAACGTATAAAACAAGCTACTCACGAGAATAATTAGTCTGAAATAACATAATTTCGAAATAACTTGGACCTAAAAAATATCCCGTTCTAATAACAGGTGGACCAATGACGCAAAATCATTTAAAAATACCTTGAAGGGGAAATAGAAAACACTTCAACGCAACATTTCACTGAAAATTTTGTGGCTGGTTTAACGTCAAATAATTCCTTCCGGCTTATTATCGAATCTTTTTTTTTCATTTTCTACCAGTTGTGTATTAAAAAAAACAATGAGCAGTATGGTTTGATTTATCGTGACAAAATAGTGACCTTGATGCAGTTGGCCATGTCTCGGAGGTCCAAGAGGAAAAATTGGTGGCAGAAGTCAGTCCAGTGCATGAAATCATTCTCCTTCCAGTCCCCCACAACTACGTAGTAGCCACCATCGTCTTTCAGGCTACACAAACAGACAAAAAATTTATTCAAATCGAAGCCTGAAAATTTCAGAAACGAAACATGCATTATTTCTACTGTTTTTTTCTTACTTGAGCCGAAAATGAAAAGAGAACAGATGCAAGCATGCTATTGTGCAATTAGCAAGGAGTGCTCCATTAAAATAAGAGGGACCGATCATTTTTCAAGTAGACAAATGTTGTATGGTTATAAAAGCAACGAAAAAATTATACATTTCAAAACCGGCGACATTTCAAATACTCAGCAGAAAATAAGTGAAAAGGGAAATATTCATAACTTTTCTCGACACCGAGACAAAGTTTTATTATTTTTTCTTGAAATCCGAATCACAACTAAAAGGGCTTTAATATGAGGTATCACTTGGCACCATGGAACAAGGAAATTTAGATCCCGACTGTACACGCTCTAAACGGCGATTCAAGGAACGTTGAATAAAGTTTAGAAAGAGAAAATTCAACAAAAAAGAGACAACCATTATAAGATTTGACTTACACTTTTCAAAATGCGCTATTAGTGTTACAGTTAGCAAAACTGAGATACACATGCATTTATTAGCGTTTTTTGGCTTCTATAACTTTACAGAACTACTATTATACCGAAAAAACTTGATATCTAATTGAAAATTTTTTGCATCTGTAACAAAGTTTGGGCTAAATTTTAAAATACAATTTACAGAGCCTTGTGTTTCTATACTCGTAGAATGCTAATGAACAAATCGTACTACAATTACCGAATTTCTGAAGTTACCTTTTGGCCAGATGAGACCCGATGAATCCGGCTCCCCCTGCCACAGCCACCTTTTTCTTCAACTTGCCCTCTCTCTTATTTTCTCCATTGCACTTTTCCATCGTCCAAACTCGATTGCTTCTTCTTCGTGAAGTAGAATTGACCTTAAGTATAATTCTAATTCTATGAAAACCATTTAGAGGGTAGTACGTGAAGTAGAATCGACCTTGGGTATAATTCTAATTCTATGCAAACCATTTAGAGGGTAGTACAACGAATCGAGGAATAACCGTATTTGGACAACCTGAAGAAATAGCAACAATTACCGTGCTTCGCTGATTCAGTTGACATATCAAAAAAGTGAGACTTACACAAAACAATTAACCACAATAAATTCAGTTGCCTTATCAAAAAAGTGAGATTTACAAAAAAGTTACCAAGATTGTGTAATTTGCTAGATATAAATAATTTATTTCTTCAATTACAAATATTTCAATTTAAAAAATAATTACCGAAAAATCCTGAATTGTGGAAATTGCTAGTCAACTGGCTCATTATCCAGTTAAAAGTTATCCCGTTATCAGTTAAAATTTATGGTAAAAGAAAAATATAAAACGAAAACTTGACGGATCTGGAGGGCCGCTTAAACCACGGAACAGCTGGCAAACTATTGTACGCAGCCAACATGCTAGGTTTTGAACAATTTTACATATCGATAAGTTCTCACCAGTTGATATCAATTCCAGCTCCACTTAGGTTTTCGTTAACACAATAATTCGGAAAGCAAACTTAAATCAGCTCTTCTTTTTATTTTTCTGTTTTGAAAACAATTAAATCATTCAAAAAATTTTCCGAGCTAATACCACCAAAATTTGAATCTAGTAGCAACTAACTTGTAACATATTAACAATTTATTCTTTTCTTTGTTATCTCTGATTTTAAAATGAATTTCAATTGTTATTTTATAACTTTCTTTGATCTCTTCGTTTTTCATTAGGAAACCAATTTGTGTATTTTGCGATTTTTACGCAGATTCCGTAACAAGAACGCTCTGTGTTTTTCCTTTTCTTTGATCGTTCCGACAAAATTTTAACAAGTTTAAAGACTTGTCTCAGGATTACAGAAATCTACGCTCACCAAATTGTGCGCCTATCCAGAGCACAGTTTGACCTCAGTATGTTTTCTTTAGAAAAACTAGTAAAAGTATTTTTTTTGTAACAGATCAATTAGTTCTAGCTGCGTATAGTCGCGACATTCAATAAAAAATCAAAAGGTCATGCTGGCGACAAGACAACGCGATACTGATGCAATGATACTAAATCAAATGTTGGTTAGTTTTGAGACTAAACCCCTCTTCTTTTTGATCCGACCATTGAAAATAGGACGGAACTATGTTTTTGAACGTTTCAGATTTTTATTTTTTTTGTTTTACACGCGAAATCAGGCACCACGAAAAAAAACCTAGCCAATAGACCTATGAAAAAGAGTCAGAAACGCGAGTAAATAGAAAAAATGACTAGTTTTTTGAAAAGACTTCAAAGTTCGAATTTCAAAGAAAAACATATGGCCTTAAACTTCTTTGAATTTCTAGAAAAAATTATGATTAACAATTTTTTGATAAATTAACCCATTTCGGGAAAACTTGATCAATCGGTAAATCTTTTATTCCGCTGGGAAATCTGCAAATTAAATTCCACTATTGAAACTAGACGTCGATCACGTTTTTTGAGACCTTTAGACTTTCGATGTTTGATATTGGTGTTTGCCTTCCTTGTAAAATGAATGAATTGAATTTAATGAACTGAAAAAATCAACTCCAACCGCGAAAAATCTAATTTGAGCGTCAACAAACTTTAAAACTTTTTCCTGCTAAATAACAAACAACAAAAAATCACCAAGACTTATACAAAAGTATTCACTACAATCATGACTCTTATTAATCGGAATGGTTGAGTGATATTTGATAATAAAGACATTTCAGTCTTTCAAAAAGGTATTCCAGAGTCGAGAAAAAATAAAAGTGTCAAAGAATCTTTTTAACCAAAAATTATCATCCAAATTACAGTCAATAGAGCTTTCATATGAATCCACGTTTGACCTCCTACTATCTTTCTTTAAGGAAGTCAAAATTGGCAGGAAAAATTCAAAAAACTGCCCCGTATACATATTTCCTTTCCAGTCTTTGTCAGAAACTTTTCAGTGAGTGTAAATACTCTACTAAACTTCATCCACTCAGCTCTGAATTAAAGATATCGCTCTAAATAAATTGAAAAACCAAATTTTCAAATTACCTCTCGAAACTGCCACAAACGATGCAGATCTTTTCATTGCTGCTTAAAAAGGCTTTCACGTGAAATATTTTTTTCTGAGTACCTGATTTAGCTGAAAAACAACCGAATCCAAAGTCCTTAACACCAGCCATCAAGATATCAACTAAGAAATAATCAAAAGATCATCAGAAATAAGTTACCAATTCGACCAGATTTTACTTCGTGGATGTATGTTCATTTCGTACAAAATGCTCCCAAATACTGAAGATACTCTGGCTGCTCATCATTCTACGCAGTCCATTAAGCTCACGCTATACGAAGTAATTCATTTTGAAGCTGAAAAACAAAACATATCAGCAAACTTATTAATTGCTACATAATCGAGCAATGAAAGTAGTCGGACCTGAAAAAAATCAAACAAATGTAGCAGAGAGATACAGCCATGTTCTATAAGTATTTGAAGAGCTCGATTTGCGATTTTGTACGTTTCCAAAACAAGTTGACAGTAGAAAACATCAAAAAATTACCTGAAATATCAATAATTTCTTTTTTTTTGTAACTTGATTATCATATCCCACGATTATCATATCCCAAAATTTTAAACTTTCAACTCCTATGATCAATATTTCCAGCTTTAATCATAAATTACGCAATCAGTTGATTAAAATTTGTACCACGAACCATTGCAAACCTTGTAATTGTATCAACAAACGATTGGAAGTAATTAACTCAGAACATACTGAGTTATTTAGTGCCCTTGAGGTGTCAATCATCTCAAATGAAAAATATCATCTTTGAATTGGAAACACTATTATTGAAAGAATCAAAGCTTACACAAAGGCGAAGCTTCACTCCTCTCACACACTAACCACTCAGCCACTGAAGCTTCAACGTCAGAAAAAAAATAGCCACAAAAAAAGGAGAGAACAGATGCTATGCAATTTCCAATGCTACAGTGAAACTTCCAAATAAGTGAACATTTATTTATTTGCAAGTTAGGTTAGAAAAAAAGAGCATTCGCTATATTACACTAAGCTGATCTAAATGTAATGACTGGCATATCTATGGCTATGACACTGGCACATTTGATTTTTTTTATTTACAATTTCAGCTCGAAAAAACTGACCATATTACCTAAAAATCTGTTATTGGTTATGAAAAAATCAAAGAACAATTTTAAACTCAAAACACATATTTTCGAACACAGAAACTTTCGGAAAATGACACTAAAGAACTTCAAAATGTTGTCAGGAATGATGCTCTATTTTTGCGGAAAACATCCAAAAACACAATCGACGGTGTTTAATGAAAATTCAACAAGTTCGGCGACAACTGAGCCGTCAAAACTTGGGAAAATTCCCGTAGAAACGAAAACTATAATAATGTCATAGAAAAATTTGCTCTATAATTTCTGTTCTCAGATTTTTAGCTTTTTGTGTGATCCGGAAGGTAGCATAAAAATTGATTTTTCCTTGAAACGACCCAAAATTACGTAGCCGATAGAATCGCCACTTAGCCAACATCAATTGCGCCCAATATAATTTTCATGCAAAAAAACTATGAAGGAAAAAATACGAAGTCAAGCTTAGTAAAATTATAAATTGTGGGAGTAAATGAAAACACTAAGAAAAGTAAAACGAAAATGGCGGACAGCAAAAACCTGCAACTAAGCCTACAAAAACTAAGCAGAGAAAACTTAGGCCGACAATTATTTTGAAACGGAAAGTTTCCTGTTTGAAAAAAGAACTATTCTCATATGAGGCAGCTCAGCAGACAAAACAACTCAGCCGACATGTGGTAACTCAGCCGATATGTGGCAACTCAGCCGATATGTGGCAATCAGCCGACATGAGGCAACTCAGCAGACAAATAATAGACCGAGAATTATTTTGAAACAAAAAATTTCTGTTTGAAAAAAAATAGGGCCCAGTCCGATTCGAACCTAGGACCTTTGTCGTCCCAGGCGTATCCGTTACTTTCAGATCAAGTGTACCGAAAACGCTAAGAAAATTGAGTTCATTATGAACCAAGATCCCAAGTGATTTTGTTGCGCAAGTTGTTACCCCAATAAAAAAGTTCATATTCGGATTTGATAAGGCTTGCTAATCGCAAGCAAAAAAAATCAATTTAATTTAGCAAAATTAGGAATACATTCATAATACAATTAGTTGAAACTTTTTCTTTCATGATGTTTATCGTGTATAATAGTCACTCAACAACGGAAGAACTAAATATATGATTATCAAAAAAATCCAAAAATTGAGACAGACTTTCGCTTTAGAAATAAGCGTTTCAGAGTTCAGTGTTAATTAGTGAATTTAAAACTTGTAATCAGACTTTCAAACAAAACAGAGACCAAGGCGACAACTGAACCGAAACCGACGATGTCGAAAAAAAGTTACTAACAATTTTTAGTGCGTTTATATCGGCCAAACATGATGTCACATGAAATTTAAAAAAAAATCATTTACCGGGAGAAAACATCTTGTACCCTCTTGCAATTACTTTCTCTCGCTTGTTTTGAAAATATAAAAATCAGAAAACGATCAATCAATACCTGTTGATAGTTTCTTCTCTATAAACTTCTAGAATTAGCATAAAATCAACAAAACTAGATATCCTCTGAAGAAACAACTTAATTTAATCATTGCTTCAAAAAAGCGTTGAACAAAAGTGTCCCGGACGTCCGGTGCGGTGCATGTTGTTACCTTGAAGTCGCATAAGCCGAATAACTTGAAATGAAAAACTGCAACATTAGATCATAGATTTGTAAAATCGATATCATCCAACATTTATTGACCGCCATTGTTTGTTTCTCCGACAAAGTTATTCAGCTGAAATCTTCATCGCTCAGAGGTAACTCAAAAACTGAAGTGGATCGAGAGGGCTCTTTAAATCATACTTCGAACTTCGAAAACATTTTGAAGTCCTAACAAATACGACTGCGTTTAAACTGAGTTGTTGGGGATATTTTTGCACAAGCTTGACACTTGAGATGAGTTCTTAGTCTGATTTCGTTTTTTGCAACATTTTCTCAGAATTTCAGACTAATATAAATTGCTTTCAATTATAGCAAGAACTGTTGGTTGTGGGGACATGTAAATCTTCTACATTTTACGATTATTTTGATTACGCTTATGATTAGCAAGCATTGTGAGATGAATTTGTTTCGAAGTAAACAACTTGTCCCACAGAATCTAAAAAAATTTCCAAATATATATATTTTTCAAACCAGCAGACTCATTTTGAACATGACTTTATTTCACAAATCCGTTCTCCTCAAAAACTTTTATATCGGTTGCAAATTTACGAGTTACCATTCAGTATAATTTTTGTTTTGTTTTTTCTTTTTGACTCAAATATTGTCGATGTTTGCGGCCTTATACTGCTTAGTTTGATCGGGAAAAAACGTATGCGTGCGTCTTCAGGGGACTAAAAAAAAAACATTTTTTATTTTTTTGTATGAAAATATTTTTTATCGTCTGAAGGGAGGCGATGCGATGTTCAAGAATTGAAACAAAAGTTCGAAAAAAAAATTTTCAATCCTATTTTAACATTCAATTGTTTTCCTTTGAACATTTTTGTCAAACTGAACATAAAGCAAGACAAGTGGAGACAACAAAGTACAAAATTTCAACAATATCAAGCAAGTAGCTTAGTATAACATTGAACAAAAAGTAGATTGCGAGACTACTATAGTACCAACTTCATTGTTATAATATCATGTCGAAACGGAAAAATTGAGACGAGTTTTCCTCGACGTGGGTTAAAATTGTTGTAGAATCCAAATCACGGCGGCTACAAGCGTTTCAAAATGATACCACATTTGGCGAACATTCTTCGAGCTAATGTACCTAGCACTTAAATTAACGCGAAAGAAAACCCCCATCCTACGCCATTGTACCTTCCCAATCTTTGAGTCATCAAACAAAAATTTAAAAAAGAAAAAGCTCCAGCTTGGTTGGTAAAAAAACTGTGCAATGCTGAAAATTCAACTCAAAATAAAATTTTAGAAATATTCTGAAAAAAGCACTTTTACAACAACGTTATTTACAATTCGACATCTCAACTGAAATAATATCGTACAACGGCACACTTAAAAAGAAATAAGGCAACAATCTGGCAAAACTGTCAAGATAAGAAACAATTTATGCTACAATTTAACAGCAGCGCACACGTTTATTTTGGTCAGCCTAGAGAAGACTTTTTGAGAAGCACAAAGAGATTTTTGGTTCAGTGTAGCACCAAAACATTAGGCCTTTTTTATGGTACTAATTTTATGAGGATATTGTAAGAAAAGGAAATTGAGAAGATATCGCAACTGAAGACTACAATACTAGCTAATAATGCCACAATGAGAAATAGAAGTTTGCACTACGCCGCCGCTTCTTTCAATTATTTCTAACAACTCGCTTCGCCGGGTTAAAACATACCGGAGCGTAACGTTTGATTTTGATGCATGATTGATGCACACTTTGTCCCCTACTTGATTTTTACTTTGATCATACTGACCAATTTTCCATCATAGTTTTCAGTCTTATTTTTGTTCTACTTTCGAAGAAAAATACTATTTTTTGAATCTTTATAACCATAACTAATAAACGTGCAAAATGACTGTCAATTTTTGATAATAATTTTTGATAATCATACTTTTTGAGTACTTTTCAGGATGCAGCTCAAAATTGACAGCGACGCACATGCACACTTCTAATGAGAACTAACTACTTCAGTGCAGTGAAAGAATTATTTTGCCACGCGGTCAACTAACAAGAAGATAATAGTTAAAGCCACTAAAGCGAATTGGAACACCATTCACTAAACCATCAGTTATGGCTTTAAAACTTTAACCATTCCGGGTTGAGCTAACAGGAAAAATTATCTCTAACTCAGAGATATCGCAGCGATTACCATCTATGATTCGGTCTATGATCAGGGTCACTTTATCCATGACCAGGGCTTAATCAACGCTGAACTAGCGCTAAATTTTCAGGTCTGAATCAGACATGAATCATCCATGAATTAGAGATGGACTTTCACTACAATAACCCTGAAGACCCAATACATATGTCAATACGAAAAAATAAATTGTTTGATAATATTCTTCTTCTTTCATAGTATTTAAAGACTATTATCAACTTATTTTGACGTGTCATTAAAACAGGGTCTGAGGTTAGAGACAAAATTATTTTTCTGACAGTTGTAATTTGACATGGCCTGCACACCTCAAAGATCTAGCTCTATTAACAGTGTCATATCTGATTGACTTTCACAGAGGCTCTTTTCTTTTTTCAACATAATTGTGTACTTAAATTTATACTTTTGTACGTAATTTTACGTAAATTTGTATTCTTGTACGTAATTGTACTTAAACCTGTACTTTTGTACGTAATTTTACTTAAATTTGCGTAAATGTACTTAAATTTGATCGCTTTCTTCTCCACTTGGCCTTCTTGTGTCACTGTGTTGTAAAAGCACTGTTTACAGCTTGTAAGTAAAGAAATTAAGAGAAGAAAAGGGCCTTTGACGATTAGTCTATCTTTCTTATTAATAATTGGCTATAATATCACCACGAATGGCACTAATAGCAGCCATCGTCCCAGTTGTTTGGATCCTCGTGGTCGCCCATCAACATCTCATCTCCACTGTACACATCAATGAAGTCAGAGGGCGAGTCCCTGGGCTGGGCTGGAATGAGATACTTCAGGGGCAGAATACTAGAAATAAACAAACACTTGCGAGAACACGACCAAAAAGCAGCTCTATCAAGTAAAGTAAGAAACGGTAGAAATAAGCCTTGAATTAGCAAAAACTCGGCTACATGTAGGTTTCGAATCTGCGACCTACAGCAATCAAGAGATTTTTAGTCTCAAGCACTATCCACTCAACCACGCAAGCTGCTTACAGCCGACGCACACTAGTCAGGAATAAAGCAGCTACATATGCTAATAAATTGCCAATGCAAATCAGCAAAAGTGGCACCACCAAACACAAATAAACTCAATTTTGCAAGTAATAATTTTGAATATAACAAACTGAAGGCATCCACACTAACTTTGCATGTAACAAATCGCAAAGCATAAAACCACATTATCTATAAATTATGTATTTCAAAAAACTGCGAGATATACTGACTTAGAAAACTTCTGAAATCGAGTTTTCAGTGTTGCTATGTTTTTTGAAACAAATTTTCGGTTCATTTGATGAATTAAAAATGCATCAACTGTGTTAACTTATTACAATTGGAATGTCAAAGCACAGGCTATGAAAAAACTGCAAAGGTGCTCCAAAAGTGGCACTATATTTGCGACTTGGGTTGGACAAAAAAGGTTCAAAAAAGAGGGTTCATACTAATACACTCGCTTCCCAAGAGTAAAGAAAGAAACAAGAAAGAAACAAAAATGTTATTCAATCTCTCTTTACGTCAATTACAGTAAAACTTTAGCAACCAACCGGCAAACTTTCAACTTTTTGGGACAAAATACATCTCCTGAAAGCTCTTTTATTTTTCAAGCATTTTCAAAGATCGGCACTTTTCTTATCAAAAACCTTAGAGATACTTGGGGTTATAGATAATTTTTAAAATTCCGCTGTTGCATCTATAAAAAAATTACGTTCTAATCAAAACGTAACTCACGTTTCTTCGCGCTATTTTCACACTTGTAATCGAGAGAGTAATTTGCCTTCCTGCTAGCAAATGAATTTGAATTGAACTTAAAAAATCAAAAGCCGACCAGCAAAAATTTAGAATTGAGCGTGACCTATGACTTTAAAAAAAGTACGTTAAAAATCTCTACGTTCATTGATACTTAAAAATAAGCTAAATCAATTATTTTATTTATACTGCCTAAAAATGATTGAGCATAGCCGCGCTGATAGTTGATCTCGAGATCACATTCTTCGACAATTTCCACTAGTTTTATTCAAGAGAACTCTTGTTTCGTTTTTTTTCTAATTTCAGTCGAACAACAAATTAGAGACAACTGGAAGAACAAGAAATCTAAACAAGTGATTGAAAATTTTTCGAATAAAAAAAACACAACGTTCAAGCATTTTGAACTTCAAGAAATGTTTATAATTGGCACTTTTTTCGTAAAGCTATCCTATTTAGATAAAACTGGATCGATGGGTAATTTTTTTGATGTGGCAGAAAAATCCGAAACTTCAATTCCACTTTGAAACTAGAAGTCATATCCATTTTTCATGACTTTTATCCTTTTTTGATAATGGAATTTGTCGTCCAAGCAAAAGAATAGAATTGAACTTAAAAATACATCCCAAGTTAAACAGTAAGAAATCAGATTTGAGCGTGAACAAATTTTAGGATTACTAATGGAAAAAAACATCAAGACCTATAAAAAAAGACAACAATTTCGCTCTTTTACTTTTAATAAGAGTAAATTACAAACATCAGATTGAGTCGTATTTGCACTTTTTTGCAAAAAAAACAAGCAATACAAAACAGCAAAAAGGATATCCATATTGCAATTAAATACGAAGCCTAGAATATAAGCTTTGATTATGATATTTTTTGCACACCAGGGAGTCAAACTCAAGGACAACCGAGATGAGTAAACGGTTTTTTGAGCGCTTGTCCCTAAAAATTTGATAACTTAAGGACAAAACTGGAAAATATAAATAATCACCTATCATCACCAACTTGTCCTCCTCCTCTCGCCGAGGAGGCCTTTTCGTATGCTGGCTTCCTATCTCGGGAACTCGGAACTGTTGGCGGTGCACTCGGATACCCGTACCTGTCACCGCTCGCATCCAAATATTCACTACTGCCGAAATCTTGTTGGTAACTTTGAGGGCGTTTAGCGATGGGTTTAATAAGCCGGAAAGCACTTTGAGACGAATGGTCGATAGACATGGAAGTGTTTATTTCAGTTTGCTGTGATAGAGCCTCGCTCGGTTGAGTTACGTCATAACTAGAAGATAAAGCGGATGATGATGCTGGTTTTCGGCTAGACTGGCTACCAATCTTTTTGACCGCGTCGGTCGAAGGATATGGTCTACTAGATGATACACTACTGTTTGATTGAAGTTGATTATGATTTTTGGGGTAGGTGCTGTTTAGGCCCACAGCACTGTCGACACTTTGAACTGGGACTTCTGGCAGTCTCCTGAAAACATGCAAAGGTTTTATACATCGAACCATTGTCAAAAACATTGCGCTTGTTATGTTACGATGACGCTAAATATCCAGTTATTGACTAAAAATGAAATATCAACTAAGAATTCTGTCGAAATATGAATTTGAATGAAAAAAATCTGGCGATGTTTCCAATTGGTACTTTGATATAACATGTTATCACATTGAATCAGAGCTGGTATGTTTAAAATTAGGGGTGCATAAAACAAGTTTCAAATACTGTTTTGGAGGTCTGTATTTTGTGTTTGTCTTTTTGAAAATGAAGTTCGAGTTAATCACAATGCAAGCTATAGCCCTTTTCTATTGCCCTTCATCATGGTTTATCTAACCAAGCCTCTGGGAGCGTTTTCGAATAGTTCTTTGTCCCTTTATCAGCTGGGATTGAACGTTCGTTCGAAAACACATTGATCTCAGAAACAGTTTCTGAGATCAGAGATAATTCAGTTTTTATTTTATTTTAAATAGGGTGTATTAGACAATTAGACTGTTTAAAATGTTTGAATTGTCTTTTTCAGAACATTACCAACACTGCATTGAATAGTAAGCTGCAAACACGACACCGAACAGCATTGAACAATCTATAAACTATCTGTTTGTTAAAAAGTGACATGTAGTGATTTCTTTATTTGAGTGTGAACAAACCTGGTTTATTTAACAGGTTTAGAAGCTGCCGAGGTAGGCAGGTGCGATCTAAAAACGCCATCAGCCTTTGAAATCTTCTTCATGTTTCAACCCATCATAAAACTTGCAATAGAAATTATAGCAAATCGAACACGGAAAAACAATTCGAACACAGAAAAACCCCAGGGTTTGGAGAAATCTATAGTAGAGGGCCTGTTTTTCGCCAGCAAATATCAAATACTATAAAGAATACTCTTTGGGCATCCATTCGGGTATCAAATAAAAGTTCTTTCAGTCATGCTCAAAGATATTCCATTTTTCTGACTCATTAACTGATAAGGTGGGCGGGAATAGTCACTCTCAGCCTAATTCTACCGCTATTTGAACTTATTTATGATGTAATTACCCATTGTAGGAGCTTATTTACAAAAAAATCCTGCTACCCCAGAGAATTGTTTTTTCTTCAAGTGTTTGCATTGGAGGTCGTAACATTCTGTGCTACTTGCACAGCAACCGGCTATCCTTGTTTCTTTTAAAAATTACTTCCAATTTAAGCGGCTTTAATGAATATAATCCCATTAAATGCAACAAAACTATGGTGAGATTTTTTAAGCTAAAATATGCCCCAAATGCACCAAACAAAGGATCGCCAATCTTCACGGTCATCGCGGATGAAATAAAAGATCAGTGTTGATTTTTAGCTTCAACTTGCACTTTGCCCCGCTTATTGGGTTCACTTTTACGAGTGATTACCTTCTGCCTTTCGCAGCTGTTCTAGGTCCAGGGATACCCGATGATGGCTTTGGAAGTGCCGATGCTCGGGAACTGGCTGGATTGCTCTGAGTAGCTGCCTGAGAGACCGAATGTCCAGCAGCAGCAGCAGTCTGATTTGCAGTCCGAGCAGTGGAGGGCCTAGTTATCGGTTCTCTAAAAAAAATAGTTATCGGTTCTCTAAAAAAACAGTTATCGGTTCTCTCAAGAAAAAATAAGAAAAAAGAAAAATTAAGCAATTCAACATTTTCTAAATTGCTAATTCTTTTGTGCTAAGTTGTTAAGTACTTTTGAGCCTTTTGAGACTTTTTCCTGAAAAAAAAAAGAAAATCGCAACCTAAATAAGCATCTTTACTACGTTCATTGACACTTTAAAACAATCTCTGAGTGTTTGTGATATAACCTCTTAGAGGGCATAGCAGATCTGGTAGAATTGGGTCCTCCTATGGAAGACACCGTCTGATTCATACTGGGGTCAGATACCTTCACTGGGTCAACGTCTCTCCCACTGGAAAGCTTGCCACTTAAATGACCTGGAACGAAGACAAACAAAAAAGCTCAAACATATTCAACAGACAGAATAACATGATCAAAAAAATTTTGTTGGGAAAATGGTTAGTCTAGAAATTTTGATGACTCGAAAGTTAAACATTCGTTTGGTTTTTTGTCGAAGCTCTTCGGAAGTCACAAATGTTTTTTTTGCAATTAAATATTAAGAAACTAATAAGAGTTAATTTCCTCAATTCTCCTGATTATGTGCCCGTGAGTAATTTCACTTTTGTTATATTTTGCCCAAGTTTAAGTTTATAATGCTCAGCTTGTTCAAAAATTATTGTTAAGAGTAACAAGAGTAATTTATAGTTAATGCCAAATTATTGACAATATCGGCGACCTTGAGCAATTTAATCGGTCAAAGCTACATCATTTTAGTTTATTTGGTTCTATGGAAACTGTTTTTACGTCTTTAAATCAAAATAAACTAAAAATTGTCGTAGAAATGAGCAGTTTTAGGTTAATTAACTTGGTTCAGATTCGTTGACCGAAAATGATATTGCCAAACATTTTGGCATTAACTATAGATGCCAACCAGGTTAGTGTTCATCACCTGATGACTGACTCTGAGTTAGTCTGGAGGAGGTGGGGGCTGTGCCAGTCCCACTCCTCGCCAGCCTTGTTTGAGGGGCATTCATGGTCTGGTTCTGATTCTTGGATGCAGCTCCACCAGCTGGCCTGGATGTTGTCGCTCCTGAAGGCCTCGCAAGTCCTGATGTGGGCTTGGAAGCAACGGGTCTTGCTGAAATATAACAAAAATTCAACATATTGTTTTTCGTTGTTAGTAAAAAGTGCAGAATAAAGAAAACGTGGTAAAGAAGCGATCAATGCAACAAGGACGACAAGCTGTTAAAATTTGCATCAAAGCATAATCAGTAAACGAGTGCTTTAGACAAAGGAAATTCAACATTTTGCTCAACTCGTATGACTCATCTGCTCAACAAAGCACTTATGGCATTGTTAGCAGGCTTAAAACGTCAGTATTCATGTCAGGATTCGGCAACTTAGACAATAAAAAGTTCAGCTAGTCCTAAAAGAAGTTTAAAAATTCAGTAGTCCAAAATAACGGATTCTGAGGCAAATGTTAACTAAGAGTAAGTAATGATATAGAGCAATGGATAGCAAGAAGACCTCTTATATAAATATTGAACCCACCACCAACATTTTCTGCCGTATATATTTAAAAAGAAGATTTTATTCGCATGCAAATGACAGAAGCTTAACCGTGCACAGTCACAGGGTTACAAACCTCTCACGGGTGACTTCAGTCTAGACACCCTTGATTTGGGAATACCAGAAGTGGGCATATTCGATACGCCATTGGCTACTGTATTCAAATGCAGTGCAGCCGGCACTTTGACCTGAGTTCTATGACTCATACAATCCAAGTCTGATAAATCATCATTTTCAGAAAGATCCTTCTCGAAATCTTCTAGTTTTTCGCTCAGCGAGAGCTCTTCGACTTTCGAGGCAGGTCTTTCTTCAACATATTCTACCCTGTTTTCTTTATCAACGATGCTTGCGACTGAGCTTGAATTTTCTCTCTCCGGCCCTGCTGAACTTTCCTCTCTTTCACGAGTTAAATTCGTGTTCAGACTCTCCGTGCTGCAGTAGATCTCTGAACTGCAACTAATTTGTTCAAAAGTGTCGTCAATGTCGTTTCTGTTGTTGTTTTGATCTTCAATTTCATCGTCTCTATCCGGTGAGTGAATAGACGCGTATAAGTTGCGACTTATGCGACGCAAATCCAAAGCTGCTTTAGAATATTCAAAAACGTTGACAAACAACAAAAAACTTTTACTTTTTAAATTACGCTTTGTAAACAATTTTTTTCTGGGATAAATGCAGCCTTTCGTTTGAGAAAGAAATAGATTTAAAAAATAGGTTTCGACCAGCCTCTGACGATGTTCTGAACAAAAAGGATACTTTTAATCACCTTCTCTTGATGAAATTGGGGCCGTCTTCTCCCTTGTAACAGTCTGATTACCCGCACGTGCACCCATCGGTCCCTTCGTCACCGTTCTTTGTTGAGTCCCTCTAGCGGGTGTCGGTTTTCCGGGAGCTGTGGCGGGACTGACACTTGTCTCTGGTGTCACATTTCTCGTCCGGTTTTTCAGAACTGTCCTTGGAGGAGTCGCGAGGAGGGATTGTTTTGATGATGGGGTCCCCCTGCTGCTCGGAGCTGTGGCAACTACCATTTCGGAGTCGACTGTATTTAGCGATTCAGTTGATTTCAGGCTCCTAAACAAAGCGCAGTCTGAAAGTAAGTCGATAGAAAATACAAAACTCAGTGCCCGAATTAAGAGCTTCGAGGTAATTTGTCGCTAAAAACTTTCCTGTAATTTGTCGTTAAAAACTCGTTGAATTCTTATTAAAACAAACGAAATTAAAAACATCGTCAGAAACCACACCAGATATCTGTGAACAATTAGGACAGACACTGCCTTAGCATGAAGGAATAGCAGCGTCTACGAGCTCCAATCGCTACGAGCTAAAATCCGTACACTTTAATGCATCCCAAACTTACATTTTGTTCAAAATCATCTCTCAACCGAAATTCATGTCTTATCACTAATCACTTAAGCTCTTCTTTTTTATTTTTCTAGTACTTACTGCATAGAAGATGACTGCGGGATATTTCGTTTCCTGTCGTAGTGAGCAACACCAGAACCAGATGATGTTTTTGGTCTGGTCAGAGTTCCAGGCACTGCTAGACCCCCACTTCCCGCTCGCTTCTCGTTGGGCCTGGAAGTCCTGGGAGTGTGGTAGTTGGAGGGTGTTTGATTGAGACCATCGTGTAGACTCTCACTGCTACTGTAGTCTGCTCTTCGCTCGACACTACCAGTTCCAAGAGATCCACGCCGTACTAGAGAATCTTGGGACGGGATTCTGAAATAAAGAAAGTGAAAAAGCACACTAGATGCTAAAAACTATCATATCTTGCCACCATGGATGTTTTAAAACACGAAGAATAATGTTGAAAAGCTACTATTAAGGTTCGATTATTGACTGTATAGGAATCGAAAAAGATCATCCTCAAATAAAACACAAGAAAATTACATTAGAATTCTGCAATTTTAACATATATGTGAACTAATTGTTCCCTTTTAGATTAATTTGACTAACTTGCTTATACTTTCTGTTGAGAAGGCAGATTTGGACTTGGTGAAGCTGCTATTTCCCATCGCATTCAAATTCTGACCACTCGTGCTTCTTAGTCTATCTTGACTCCCTAATCCAGGCGAACTCCTCCTCATATTCAACCCTGGATTACTACTGTAAACGGGCTCTCCGGGCGATGCCTCGATTGTGAACGAGTTTTCCTGGCCAAATACTGAATCATTCATCACTCCCGACTCGTCTCCAGTAGCCGAAACTTTTCCAAAGGAGTCGTTCAACTGTCTGCCGCGGACTGCAGGTTTGTGTCCAGGGAGCGAATCGCGAGAGCTGGTTCTAAACGGCAAACAAAAAAGGTGGCAAACGAAATTGGTTCAGACATATTAGCCGAGTAAAATTACATGAACAAAACTTTTTCAAAAGAACTTTCTTTCAGTTGGACATTTTAAATCTTGAGCGCGAAAAAAACTGGGCAATCAAATCAAAAATTTCATTTGAAATCTGGAACACTATCTATAACTACCAGTAAAACTTTCAAAAATGCAGAATATTTCAAGTATAATAATCTTTTCAACCTGAACAAGTTCTCGCTGCTGTCGATCACTGGCGCATTGGGATTTCGTCTGTCTGTAGTGTAGCTTGAATTGCGCACTCCACTCCTTCCCCCGGTACCTTTAGTCATCCCACCTACTCTGACGTCATCGATAGAACTAGACATGACACCCACTGCTGCTCCTAATGAGTGGTCACTCTTGAGAGCCTGTCAAATAATTAACACATCACTTTCAGATTATTCGACTATCTAAAACATTATCCGGGTCTGGCCCAAAAAGTCATCAAAGAATATAGCCAACAAACAGTCAAAAAAAAAATCGAGAAGCTTTCTCTGATTGGAACTGTTTTACAGAGCAGACGCGTAGCTTCGCATCACTTGCAATACAACCCAGATCCCTTTCTGTTCAATTTCAGAAAAACATTCAAGAAACACCACGAGTTTTAAATCATCTTTTAGTATCATTTAACGAGCAGCCACTGATCCGAAAATACTTAAAACGTGTAGACGCCCCTTAAACGGAAATTTTTTTTAAAAAATGTTGATATACAGAAAAAACATTTTTTGATCGATTAATTTACATAACTTTTAATCTTTAGAGCACAGCCTAATTTAGTTCATGTAAATTATTGCCCTTCAAACAACAAAAAAAGTCGAATAAGCCGATAAAATAAAAGCCAAAACCATTTCTCCATCAAGAAAACTAAAAAAAACATTCAAAAATCGACTTGGTTCATTGAAAGATGACTGTCAGGTTGGAACTGCTTAAACCAAAAAACCTGCTTTGGAAATTCAGCAGACAAAAATAAGAAAGTAAACAAAACTCCGATCATTCAATTTTTCCCGGAAAGCATTTTTCACACAGAGGTGAAGCTTCGCTTCGCAAACACGAGCGAGAAAACGACAAAAGCAGCTCTATGAAGTGCAATAAGAGAAACTAGAAATAAATCTCGAAATTATTACGTTACGTCTGGGATTCGAACCCGACCTACAGACTTTGAGTCGAACTCACTAACCACTCAGCCATGGACGCTTATAGCTAACAAACACTAGCCACAGAGCAGAGAACAGATGCTATACAATTTCCTCTGCTACAGTAAAATTTCCAAATGAAACTTTTATTGCAAGTTAGGTTAGAAAAAAAGGTTCGTAATAATACATTACACTAATAGCTAATGTAACTAGTAAACATTCGGCATCATCTCGGAATTGATCTGCGACCTAGAGATATTGAGTCTTACGCACTAAACACTCAGCCACTGACGCTAATAAATCTAACACTAGCCACAAATGAAGCAGAGAACAGATGCTATGAACATACAATTTCTACAGATCGTGATTATAGCAAACGTGCCACCAAATAAGTGAACATTTTTATTTGCGAGTAAGGTTTGAAAAAAAAGAAGTTGCGCACTAATTAATACAGTTCTCTAATGGCTAGTGTAAATATTATAAATTCTGGAAAAAAAAACAATATCCGACAGGAACTCGAACCCCACACCTTAGAGTACAAAAGCAACCGCGTGCGTTACCTCTAAGTCAAGTGGAGTCTCGAAGTTGCTCTTGCACGTGTTTTTAATTTACAAACACAGCTAGCAGACAGTTAACAAAATAGTCATGAACGCAAGAAAACAGAAAAATAAATCTTAATTTCCGATTTTCGAAAAAAAGATGCACTTGAAGCTTTTTGAATTTCCAGAACAAATCATGAATGATTGACAGGTTTTTGATAAAAATTAACCCAATTTGAAAAAACCGGATAAATAGATATATGTTTTTATTCTGCAGGGGAATCTGGAATTAAAATACGCAATTAAAGGTGATCAACAAGTGATGTGACATTCATTCACACTGCCGCTGTTCGGTAGTGGAGTTATGTTCAATTGTCAAGCGAAAAAAAATCAAATTTTGAGCGAAATTTGACCTATGTAAGATTCTACTCTGCTCTCAAAAACTGGATCAATGAGTAAATTATTTAATCAACTGGTAAACCTGAACATAGCCAACTGACAATTGGAAAAACTTCAGCTTTCAAAATTCAAAGAGAAGAAAAATGCCATTGATGCCATGTGTAATTGGTATTTTTGATAAAACTAACCCAATTTTAAACAACTGGATTAGTAGGTAAACTTTTATATCGCAAAGAAATTTGGAGGCCAAGCTATGCTTCGCAAGCACTAGCTAGAACACGGCAAAAAGGAGCTCTAGAAAGTGCAATAAGAAAAAATAGGAATAAGCCTCGAATTAGTAAAAATTCGTCTAGGTCTAGGATTCGATCTGCGACCTGCAATCAAGAGATTTTGGGTCTCACGCACTACCAATTCAGCCACGCACGCTTAATCACCGACAAACACTAGTCACGAATAAAGCAGCTACATATGCTAATAAATTGCCAATGCCATTCAGCAAAAGTGGCACCAAATACAAATAGACGCAATCTCGCAGGTAAAAATTTGGAATATAAAAATCTGAAGGCATTTACACTAACTTTGCATGAAACAAATCGGAAAGCATAAAACCACATTATGTATAAATTATGAATTTCAAAAAATTGTAAGATATATTGAGTTGGAAAATTTCTGAAACCGAGTTTATATAATTGTTATGATGTTAAATAGCATTTTTCCATTCATTTGATGAATTAAAAATGCATCAACTGTGTTAACTAATTACAATTCGAATGTCAAAGCACAGGGTATCAAAAAGCTGTAAAGGTGCCCCAAAAGTGGCACTAAAATTTGCTACTTAGTTTAGCAAAAAAAGAAGGTTCGTAACAAGGTAATGGAACTGAACTTAAAAAAACCGAAAGTCAAACCTCGAAAAAATAAATTTGAGCCTAAACAAATTCGAAAACTTCCTGAATCCAAGCAAGAACGAAAAAAATAATCGTGATCTATCTAAGATTCTGAACTATATTCATCGACTCTTAAAAACCTTTTTATTGAAGAGCATAATTTGCGTGCCATTTGGCAAATGAATTTGATATTACCTAAATGTAATTGATATTAACGAAATTAATAAGTCTCTTCACTTTCGTTAATTGACAGCTGAACACGAAGGTTAAACACAAATCCTGATATCACATCAATTTTTGCTTTAAATAGCTTTGCTCGCGTGGGTGACTTTCACAGATCCGAACTTGTTCCGGCCATTGAAAATGGGGAGAAACTTTTGCTCTTGTTTATTCTACGCAAAATCAGGCACCACAAATAGTCATCGAAAAAGGCCGAGTGATATATGATACTAGAGTTCTTTCAATCATGTATCGAACGACAGCAAAAAAAACTCAAAGAGTTGTCCCAGAATCGATAAAAACCGGTTTGAAGTTTTGAGTGATAACCTAATTTCAGTGATAGACTGGCAACCTTTTGAGTAAGTTTCTAGTTCGATATGTCGAGGCCCACCAACATCCATGCACTAGTTACTTGCGGGTGAGGCAACTATTCTCAGTCCAAAAAACAAACAAACCAAAAATTGCTCTCTTAATCAAGGGATCAACAGCGGTTCTCCGCGAAGAGCTAATAATCTAGTATTTCGGTCCTTTCCTTGAAAAATAAATGGTATCAATCTTAAATACAGCTCAGCTCGCAAATGTACATTGAGTTTAGTTTATAACTAACTTATCATAACTACTAATTTCAGTAGAAATTCTCAGAACTGGTTGAGTCGAGCAAGCCACCTTTGCAAAAATAAGTTGTTCACCTGTGGTAGGAAATGTTCACCTGTGGTCCCTGATGATGTGGCATGGCTGCTGAGAAGTCTCCCCCTGCAGTGATGACTGCATCCTCTGGATTGACACTGTAGGAGTCCTTCCTGGCGGCCTTGTTGGATGCCAGCTGCTGTCTCAGAGCCTGTCTCTGTCTAGACGCCTCCTCTAATTTCTCCTTATTCGTCCTGCAAAACACTCAAATAATAAATTGCAATCAATTTCGCAAACACAAGCAAGAAAAGTGCAAAAAGTAGCTCTAAAAGGGACAAAGTGAAAAGGATAGCCGGTTGCTGTGCAAGTAAAGTAGCACAGCAGAATGTTCCGAACACATTCTGAAAAAAACTATATAACTATACGAACGCGTCATTATTTAGTGAATTAGGCATACCAGACTCCAATTGCTTTCAAATGAAGGAATTTAAAAAATGAAAAAAATTTCAAACACTTTAAATTTTTTTTTAAATTTTTTGTGCCAGAGAAGATATTTATTATTTGTGTTACCTGAGTTTGGGTGAAAAACAAAAAGAAAAAAACTAAAACACCCGAATACAAAGTTCCTCCCTATTTTCAATGGTCGGAACAAAGAATGAATGAAAGAAAAGGTAAAACATAAAATCGAATATGTGCTCGAATCGAATCTCCGACCTCGAGATTCAACATCACACGTCCTGGCCATCTGCAAATTTGCCGCTTCAAAAAAATGAATATTAAAGGCCCAGCTAAAGCTGGAGGTAGTAGCTCTTTGATAAAATATCAATGAATGTACTGATGCCACAAGTGATTATCCAAAAAATCTAAGATCAAAAGTTTTTTTCCCAAAATGGACATTTGCCAAACAAATTGTTTTTCCACAATAATTAAGGCGTAGTCGCTATGAAGCTAAAATTCCTAGCGATGGTCTTTGATTGATCCCTTAATCTTAAATTTGGCCGTTTAGTTTTCGAGATAATTCAAAAAGTATCGAAAAAACGGTCAACATTTCAAAACATCAACAGTTTTGAAAATCATTCTAACTTTTTTCAAAAATAGCCAACAGACAGTTGGAAAAAAGTCAATGAACGCAAGTAAATTTAAAAAAATTGATTTGTTTTTTGACAAAATCTCAACATTCGAATATCAATGCAAAAATAGATGCCTTTGAAGCTCTTTACATTTCTAGAACAATTCAAGATATGCCCATTTTTTGCAAAGTTAACCCAATTTGAGAAAATTAGACCATTAGGCAAATCTTTTATTTTGCTGCGAAATTTGAAAATTCAATTCCAAATTCGAAACTAGAAGTGGATCACGTTTTTCGTGAATTTTAAACATTTGCTGTTTGATAGTGGAGTTAGCTGTCCTTTTAACAAAACAAGGAACTGAACTTAGAAGTAAATTTGACATTTCCTGAAAAAAAAATAATCACGACCTATATAAAAATCCGAACAACTTTCACCGACTCTTAAAAATTCGAGAAAAAAACTCCTACAACCTGTCCTTTCGATTGAACCCTTTATTTCAGATTTGTCAGGGTAGTTTTTGACAAGCTTCCGAAAAACAGGTCAAAATTTCAACAAAAAGGCTTTTTTTATGTCTAAAACTAAGTTCCTACAAAAAATTAGTCGTAATGGTTCTGCAGAGAAAACTCGAACAGCCATTTCTCTACGCTTTAACCTCCGATTTGGCAGGAAACTTTCGAACTTCAAAGAAAAAATAAGATGCCCTTTAACTACTACTGCGGCGCAGAAAATTTGAATATCTAGAACTATTTACGATTGCGGCTTTTTTGATAACATTAACCCAACTTGAGAAACCAGGATCAATAGGTAAAGTTTTTATTCCGCTGTAAATCTGAAAACTAAATTCCACTTTCGAAACTAGAAATTGTTCATGCTTTTAGATCCAATTCCACGTTCGTATTTGGAGAGTGCTATTTACGTAACTTTTAGCAGATGAATTTTAGTTGAAGTCAAAAAGTTAATACATACCTAAGTGCATTCATAAATACATTATTATGTTTGAATGCACATCTGTAGTTATTAGAGCCTTGAAAGAATTTTTCCAGATAAAAAAAAATCACCAAGACCTATATAAGAGTCTTCACTACATTCATTACTCTTAAAAACTATTAATTTTTGAGATCAATAACTTTTTTTTCCAAAATCAGCACAACATCACTTGTGCATAGAAGTGTCACAAATCCTGTTATTTCATTCAAATTTAGAACCTCAAATTTGGAGGGGTAGTTTTTCAGAAAAATCAAAAGTTTCGAAAAAACCTTCAATGTTCCGAAATGGAACATTTAAATGGCCATTACAATTTTGAGGAAAAAATGGGCCGAGCCGTTTATGCAATGAGGATTCTTAGCATCAGTTTTTGCATCTGAGATTTGCAAGGTAGATTTCAAGAAAAAGAAGTTTCCAAAAACGGAAAAAAATAAAAATATTTAGACATTTTCTAAGGCCATGTCTTTTTCTACAAAAATGACAGCTTGGGTTATTTTCAAAGCATCTTCTTTTGATTAACCCCTTAATCTCAGATTTTGAAAGGTATTGTTTGAAAAAAAAATCCCTAAAATGGGTTAAAAATCCCTCCATTGAAATTGTCGAAGGCTGTAGAACGCCTAGTAAAGAAAAACAGACTGTTGGAGTATGCATGCAGACTGGCAAGAAGCTGGTCTTTTCATTGGCCACCTTTTTCTGACAATCGACAAAACATTTCGAGAAAAATTAATTTGTTGCAAAAATTCTCCAAATAAGCAAAAATTTTCCTAAATAAAATTTAACGAACGAAATCCGAGATATTTTCATAAGACCTGTTTTTTTTATCAAACAGGAGAAGCCACCAATATACCAGATACAAAAACATAATGTTATGCAGCAAAAGTAAACCAGATATAAAAAATGCCACTTTTATGAGCACTTTTCATGAGCGACTTAGATTGGAAAAAAGTGGATATGTTATACGACACTGCGCTTCGCTTGTGTATTAACAATCCGACAAAGTCAAGAAAAAATTACTTGTTAAATATTGCTGGCGGGGGAAGGATTAGATCGGGTGTTTACGTTAGTAGCAAATGTATTTGATTTTGTTTTGTGACTAACTTTCTTCTAGGTGCCTGGAACCCTGGTCCCAAACCAGGTGCTCCTGCCAGCATTGGTCCCCCACTTTTCTCTCCACCCGAGTCAATTGATGACCTGGAGACTGACCTCCTTCTCGGAGCAGCAGCGGCGCCCTGATGTTTGTCACTTAGGCCCACAAAGTCATACCTTTTCTTCTGTTCAGTTACTGGACCACGGTCACTGCAATTTATAAGCAAACAACATTCTACTTTGGTCGTACTATATTACACTGGTTGACATATTACACATAAAGCCCCAAAATAATAAGACCATTTTCAAACTTTTTCGACGAACAAATTTTTTCAATTGCTCTTTTATGCGAATTGCCGTATCAACAAATTTTCAAAACGTTTATTGGCTCTTTTCTATTTTTCCCCACATTTGAAATTCAGCTTTGAAAAAAAAAAATTAACGCCTTTTTACCTGTTCACGCTGCCAAGTTATACAGCAGTTGAGAACAACAAATCGGTTGTTAAATACGCTGTTGTAAATTGAGTTTCAGAAAAACGAAAAAGGCTCTTCCTAACACGTTACGCCTCTCATAATTTCACACATTTTGTCCTCACATGTTACGCCCGTAATTTTTTTGCACATTTCTTTGCGATTTGAACATAGTCGACGATTTGAGGGGCTAAATGTGGGGACGAAATGTGCCAATAATTTCAATAGGAGCGAAATGGGATGAATTGAGCAAACCCCCCCACCCCCCATTTGGAAGGGGGGGGGGGGGTGGTAGGGGTTGAGAGTTAGCTTAATATGTACTTGAGACCTTTTTATAATTTACAACCACTTGAACTAAGTATAGATTTATACGCCAGATTCTCCAACAAACGCGGAGAACCAAAAATCACATTCTGAAAACTCAAAAACTAGATTCAGAGTGAAAAAAGGCCACAGTAGTCGCATATTAAACTGGCTTGTTCCTAGTTTGCTTGCAAAAATTGGCAATTGTATACATTATCCGGATCCCATAGGATTTTTTTCGGCCTAAAATAATGCCAAAAATTATTTCTGGTGACTTGCTTACCTCAAAGCAATGATCACCCAAAAAAAATCGGGAAAAGTTTTTTAAAGATTTTTTTTCGAAAATTTTTACTCGACACTCATATAACAAAAAATCAGTCGGGCAATTGATTGCGACATATAAACGTTGCAACCATCTGCTCGCGTTTGAAAACGTCTTTTATAGTGTTGTTTTGTCGTTTTTGGTAATAGTGGAGATAGCTCAATTGGTCATAACGGGAGGTAGATTGCTCAATTGATCCGCCAAACGTGTGAGAGGGGCGAAATGTGTGTGTACCGTGATAGAGGGTTCCCAGTAAAATCGAAGTGTGAGAAGTGATGAGGTCCCGAATTCGACCCCTGCCGACCCAAAGGATCCTCTTTTGTACTATTTTGAAATATTCATTTTTGGCTGAAGGACTCAAAAAATTTTCTAAGGGGGTTTTGACCAAAACAGGGTCTTTTTAGTGCTTTGGGAGAGCACGGAAAATTGATTTGGTCGACCTAAAAAAAGGTCGACAAAATTTTCGAACATTATTTGAAAATCCGCCCCGCCCCGCACAGCATTTTTGACCATTCTTTGAAAATCCGCCCCGCACCGCATTTTCGACCAATTTTTGAAAATCTGCCCCGCAACGCATTTTCGACCAATTTTTGAAAATCCGCCCCGCATTTTCGGCCAATTTTTGAAAATCCGCCCCGCCCCGCACCGAATCGTAAAATGAGGGACTTCAAGCCGAACATTTTGTCAAAAAAATCTTTCTTTACAAGTCATTGGCTGTTTCATAAACTTTGAGCCTCTAATTGATGTTTAGGAATATTAAAAATTAAAACAGTGTTCAGGGGTGGTAAAAGTATGATAAATGGGTCCCAGGAAAAAAGCAAGTAAGAAAGATCATTCCGCAATTTTTGTGACAACTTCAAAAATAAAAGTGAACAAATGCGAAACCAGTTTTCGAAGTTTTTCAGGCCTAAAATTTTTTCTTCAGGGGCCCATCTTAATTTTCGGGATCCAGCTATTGGCTCTCTTCGGACAATGTGAACAGTAATTTGAATTATAAAAATTTGCAATGGGGTGGGGGGCAGAGGAAAAAGAGCCCAACTATCATACTTGTACGGTACCCAAGGGGTTTTTCATTTGTGTAATTCATGCATTTCAAATTCCGGCCGATCTAACTATCTGATAACAGTCTTCTTAAGACTCTTAGTCTTAAGTGGTCCATGGTTATGAAGAACGCTTGTTATGAACTAAACTTGGCTAATTTTTGAAAGCCAACAAATAACAGATGAAAAATTGACGTTTTGAGGCGCTTGTTAAGTTTAAATTTCGGCATGACGTCCCTTCGGCCTGTTGTCCTAGACCCAGTTTCTTCCTCTATCACTTTTCGGCTCTTTTTCAGTCCCCCCCCCTTTGATTTTTTCGGAAATTTATTATGTGAAAACTTGTTTAAAATGACTTTTCATGTTATAAACTGCATTAAAACGTGTCAGCGTGAACAGGTGAACAAACTTTCACATTTCTTACATGCAAAATGCCGTGTGAAGAACTTTTGAACAGCTTTATTTTGAAATTTTACGAGGGGGGTGGGTGGGAAACTGGAAAAGAGCCCACTTTTCTACCAAGTTATCTTTGTCTGGCCTAATTAGTCCGCATGTCAACTTTTAACACTCGGACAATGTGTCCAAATAAGTTACTTTCGAACATTCAAAGGTGGGGGGGCTATAAAATTTGGGATGAAATTCCAATTAATTTGACCGAAAGGCCATTGGAGCTGTGTAAAATTTAAAAAGAACAAGTTTAATTGAATCTGAAAACAAAAAGTTTCCCAGTCCGGGAGTCGAACCCGGGCCTTGTGGGTGAAAGCCACAAATCCTAACCGCTAGACCAACTGGGACTTGTTCACTTGTACTCAGCGCGATATCGTATACCAGCTCTCAAGCTTTTGCTTTCAGAAGCCACATAATAAAAAGCTTATATATTTAAATGTGTAAAATACGGACCGCGAATGCGTTCTGCTGCGCCTTGGATTTAGAAGTTCGTTCTGATCGAATTCCTCTTGATATGGCTGATGCTGATACTGATTGACATAATAGTCGCCCTGCATGGTGGATTCGTCGTACTCGTAGCCCTCTTGCGGCGGCTGGCGGAGGAGGTTCTCATCACTGTGGAAGTCGTTGTGGTTATCGAATAGCCGCCCACTTTCTACTGTGAAGGACTGTTTGCGATTGTGATTTTGTAGCGATTGAAGAAGTTCTAAAAAAAGGGATACTTTACTTTCTTGCTTTCCTTATTTTTCAGGGCGAGATGGCACATTGGCTTGGTCGACTAAAGCAGCAAACAAACAGCGGTTCGGGGTCTGGGTAAGATCCCTCTTCTGTTCACACTGAATTGTCATAGTGAATATCTCCTTCATCTTTCCCCACCGGAAGAACAAGCACGGTGGTATCTCGCCTTTTAAAATAATGTTTTTAATTCTTAGGCCTAATCAATTTGTAAATTCCAACAAAAGCGAATAGAATAGATTGTTACTTTGAGAGGATCTTGTTAACTATTTCAGTAGGCAACAGGGGGGGGATAGGATAGTTAACAAGATTTTTCTCTTTGAGATTGACAAAATCACTAACTTAATCAAATGCTTAATGAGTAGTGTCTCAATCGGTCTCAAACTTTACAGAATCTTTCAACGAAAAAACAAAATATGTAACAAAATGTTATTTTTACCGAGCTTAATGATTGAAAAAGACTGTTACGGAAACCGCACCATTTATTTACTTTACCCTATATGGCTATGGAACCCACATTCAATTTTGTCAGCAGATTCTACTCAGCAGAGCTCACCGCGTGCGTAATCCATTTACCCACGAGAGTATTTTTAATGCTCTTCCAAATCCGAAGTTTGTCTTTGTAATGAAACCAATTTTGGATATGGGATGATATGATGTTGGATATGGGACGAAATCTGTATGGGACGAAATCTGTTAATTAAATAAATAGGACGAAATCTGTAGTAGGACGAAATCTGTGCCAATCTTTTATTGCTGGTTAGAATTAAAAAAAAAACAGAAAAACCAAATCTTAAATTAAGATTTAATTAAGTTTCATTTACCCGCATCTGGACCACCAAGATAGGGCGTTCAATAATTTCCAGACTTAAAAGTCTAATTTTAAAAAAATAGGAACTATGAATTTTGAGAGCTTGGGAATTCATAACCACCTAACTCAGAAATTAGTGAATTTTTTTCAAGGCAATCTTCTGTACACGTCAGTGTCGAGATTTCTAACTTGATTCGGTTGGAGGGCAGACTTTCAGTAATCATCAAGCTGTACCCTAATTTCATTTAAAATGGATCGAAAATGAAGACATTAATCACACCATTAATTGAATTACCAGTCGAATCGAATCTCTTAAATGGTGAATGATTTTGATTTAGAAATCCAACCTGGATCTGAAACATCAACTTTGCAAGTTCAATGGGCCATACATATGAATAAACCAAAAATATCGCATCTATTCAATTCAAAGCTTTGTCACACACCTAATTTCACTCACCAATTTTCCCAATTTAGTTTTTAACCAAAGCAACAGTCTTTAAAATTTCAAGCATCTTGAAGCCTTTAGCTGAAAGCTCTTGTGGGAACATCTTGTGCTAATTTAACCTTTGAACCTTACCCAATCGTTTTCTTTACGTTTCATCATGTTTTAGTTTTGTAGTGTGTTCGTGAAACATGTGCTTAAGGCTTACCTTCCTCCTGCATCCTCATGCGCACTGTTATGTCTGTGAGGTCCTGTGTGTTCATCAGATTGGGGTTGGACCCCGTCCTGGATGCAGAGTCAGCCAAATTAGGATAGCTGCCCGAGTCTCCTCCGAACATGCCTGAGTTGTGATTGACAATCGCGGTTGAGTTGAGAACTGTAGTCGTGTCATTGAGAGCCTGGAAAGTACTGTTGAGGCCTGAACAAAAGTTGGAAGGATTGTAACAAAAAACCTAAATTTCTCAAAAGGCACTCATAGCTGTTCAATTGCTTATATTACCTCAGGGGGCTATTCTCATAATGGTGAGCCCCTTTGATAAAAAACTTTCAAGCAATCAGAATCTTTTAAAGCCTTAAAAAGTTTCTATTTGCTGAAAACTTTATTGAGAAAGACAAAATCAAAAGTAGACTGCTTGTATCAGAGCGATGATCTGAATGTCCCAACAGACCTTTGAAGTCTACGAAATAATTTTGGATTGTGAAATTGATTAAATTTAAAAAAAAATGCATCAGCAAATTGCACACCACTCAAAATTTTACACAGCAAAGAATTAATATTCAACATAAACACGCGTGTTAATAAACACACACATGCTAATAGACCCGTCAAAACTCTCACCATTTGCATTCCTGTGTGATAGTGGCTGAGGCCTGGCTGTATGAGTCTGTGTCTGATGTGGGTGTAGATGAGAGTATAGGTTGTGGTCTCTCCTCTGTTTGATGATGTCCACTGCCACTATCAGGTTGTTCCTACTCCCCCTCACCAACTCCATCTCCTCACACTGTCTTTCCACCCACTCCTTCGCCTCCCAATTGGAGAAAGGACTCTCGGGCTTCATCTCATCCGGCAACAGCCTAATAGCAATTCTTAGTATTGTTACCGATGCTGACTACCTCCAAGAAAATTTCAGAATTTAGCTCAAAGAAAATGATCAGAACAGTTTTGATTTTCAGTCACGTTTATTTAATTTTTCATCTCTCTCAAGGGTCAAGAAAGCATCAGAAAATAAAAAAGAATTCAACTGTTTTTTTCCGCCTATTGGATGTAAGATCGCGATTTTCACACGTGATAATCGGACCGACCTCGTGCGTCGACGGAAATTAGGCGTAGGCGCGAAACTATTGGCGGGGGAGTTGAAAGATAGTTCAAAAGTGATACTTACCAATAGATAAGCTTAGTTTGAGAGCTAACAATCGTAATCGGACTCTGCACCTTGAATTTGACCTCTAGGGCGAAGAATTAAAAAAAAGCGCGCAAAATCTGGAAACCCCCCCCCCGGATTGGGAACCACTGGTCCGATCCTTATGAAAATTGGTGGGTGACTAATATAGATGATTTTAGTCGGGCATGCCAATTTCGAGACCCCTGGGGGGCGAGTGATAATGATTTCCGAAAATGCAATTAGCACTTTTTGTAAACCGGTAACTAATGGTCAGAATGACTTCAAATTGCAATATGTTGTAGCCCTAGGCGAGGGATGTTCACCACCGGGATTTTGAACGCATCCGGTTATTACTTCCGGTTTTACGCCCTATGTAAACAAAACCCACTTTTTGTTATTTCTGGACCCCTGATAATGCTAGGAGGCTGAAACTTGGGGGGATGGTAGGTTGGTGGAAGACCTGTAATGTATTAATGTTTGGACCCAATCCGGCGGCTACGTCGGAAGCTATTAGCACTTGACAATTGAATTAGGCTATTAACACATGATAGTGATAATTGACTTGTGATTTTAATGCACCAATGTGAAGGGGGGGGGGCAACCCAGTAGGGGGACCCCTAGTGACCCAATCCTCTCCGGAACTTCCTATGGGGTGAAAACGGCAATTTTAGGGAAAAGTGTTAATTGACCCAAATTTTTCGAAAATATGGGAGGGATGGTCCGATATGAATGGAACTTAGTGGGAATGATCTCCCATCGAAAATAAGACGTTTGGACGCGTTTGACCTCATTTGACCTCGGATGACCTTCAAGAGGTCATTTGGCATTTTTGACCCCAAGACCCCCGGAACCCCCTGAAAAGCGATAAATTAGCATTGTAAGGACCCGTAAGGGGTACTTACCCACCTGGGGAGGTAAGGGGAGGCCCCTAAATCGAGAATTTTTAGTTTTGACCTTTGTACCCGAGCGAAAGTGATTTTCTGTAATTCGCAAACATTGGGGTCAGCTTAACCTACTCCACTTGGACTTTCGATAAGAACGACAAACAAGTGAAAATACAGCCCCGGACAAAAATTGGGAACATCTATGGGGGAAATGGGAATTTCGGGATGAAGATTTTATGAACAGCCCTAGCATATTAAATAATTCTTGTGGTGTTTTTTTTTCGGATCAAAACGGACACGGGGAAGGGAATTACCCAGCCCTTGGACTTAGGGGAATAGAATTAAAAATGACCAAAAATGGAAATTTTTCAAGTATCATGAAAGTTAAATTTCCAGTTATGTGAGAACTACCCAATTCATGGGAAAGGGAAAAAATTAGGAAGAACTAAAATAAAATCATGCAATGGGTCATTTGTCAAATACGATTGGGAGCTGATTTTGTAGTTGAACCCAATGTTTGCTCAGTATGTCCTGATTAACTAAGTGCCACCCCGATGTTTAATTAAAGCTGACCTAATGGTGATTCAGCTGATAAGTCCTGAGTGGCAGCTAGTTAAGTGAATGTTAGTAGGGTTGGGAACGGTACGCCTCTGACCGAACCGAAAGTAAACAAAGATAACGATACGCGATTAAGGCACAACCACCGAACTGGACAGAACAGGTGTTAACTACTATTAAGAGACTGAGAAAGAGTATAGTTGGTTCTCCGTTAGTTAGAGAGAACAATTGTGAGACTTATAGAATTCAGACTGGTCCTGAGAGTGACTCGTGAAAGTTTAAGAGTGAGTTCTCGACGCGAGATTTTTAGTGAAGCTTTGTGAAGCAAAGTTGAAGAGTTGTTTAGAATTGTCTGTAAAGTGAACTGCGAGAGGCAGCTTTCCGGAACTTATCGAAGATTAAATTCATTGATACTTAATAAATTGTATTCAGGCCACTTAGCGGTCCCTATACTCGGCAATTTATATATTTATTTCTGAATTCAATTACTATCCAGTTTCTTGCGATTCTTTCCGAGGATGAGAACAGTCGAGAGCAATCGAGCAAAGGGGGCGCAACCCAGTGTAGTACATCGATCGACCACCAAATTCAACCTTTCAACCGAAGGGATTGTCGCCAAATACCGGATCACAGCTCACCCCTTGCTGGTTCTGGTATTTAGTGAAGGGACTTAGCGGACAATATAGAAGGGATATATTGGGTCTAAACAGTCAAATTCCCCAAGACGACATTAGATCTTTTTAACTATTTCCCCCTATGGTACCTTGTAACGACGAATCCCCCCTATTGCAATAGGGGGAGTAGTAAACAAGATCCCGCCTATTTTATCAATTTTTAGTAGGAGATACTGTGGTCGTATCGTAACCTTATCTGCTACTTGCACAGCGATCAGCTTTACTTGCTGATTTGTCTATAACAGTAACACTCACTGAGAAGAGGCACAAGAGCAATCCAGATCATGACAGCTCATCGCTTTTAGCTTCCATGCTACGTGCCCCTTTGGATTTTTTGTCGCTTTGGGAGTGCTTTATCTAATTCATGGGGCTGTTTGTTCTGGACGGTTATAGTTAACAGCTTTAAAATGCAGTTTTCTCAAATATTGTGATCCGACAACAACAAATTCATTCAGTCAAACATCGCATATCGAAATAATTTTAGCAAGAAATTTCATACCCTATAGAAAATATTGACTCTTTGAGTTCAAATGTATGAGATGATTTTTTCTCAGATCACTTTTTGTAAATTTTTGAAATTTCATACGACTTAAATGTTTGACATTGTCCAAATGTATGGTTTTTCAATGTTTGATTTCTTACCAAAAAATATTCGATGCCAATTAAGGGGCAGTCAGAATATTCAGGGCTTCGCCCTTATATATGAGCAGCCTTGTTTGTATTTTAATCAGGGACCAGATCTAGGGTTTTGTCGAGGGGTGTCGACCAAATTGACTTTCCAAGCTCTTTTAAAATACAACAAATCTTTTAGGGTAACTCTTTACAAAAATTTTAGGGTAAGTCGACCAAAAATGGATGTGAAATAATACCAAACGATGATCCTTTGGGTGACGAGGGGGTCGAATCCCTGAGGGAGTGGGGAAGCGTCCACCCATCTTCCTCAAACCCACCCCTAATCTTAATTGGTTTGCAAACATACCATTCGTCGCCCTGGTTCGATCCCCACCCAGCCCGGTAACTGTCTAACTCCGAATCTGACAAGAGATCGAATGTGTCGTCCAGTGATGAATCGCCATGACCACCTATTTGATCACCTCCTATTACCATATCTGAAAAGAGAAATTACGGCACAGATCAACAGCTGACTTCATTTTATTCATTTAACCAGAAGCATTGAAAGCTCGACTGATATCAGCTCAATTGCAATTCAGCTTAAATCAGAATCAATTCAGCTCAAGTCATTTCAGCATTATCTAGCCATGCCAATTATTACACTTAGTTAAACTCGTCGTTATGAACACACGGCGTATCTAAACCGCCCATTCGTTCATCATATAGCAAACTCGAATAACAAAAGACCAAAACTCCTCTATTGGCTACGTGACATTTCAACTCATATTTCATTAAGTCCTCAAAGACAAAAGACACCATATGCAATGAACTCATTTTGATAGATTTAAGATGAATGCAATGAATAATTCTGCAAATCTGCAATACGAATAATTTAATTGATTGCTGATTCAATAATGCTTGAGGTCCACTCTGATTTTTGCTGGTAGTCGAACTCATACATCGTTAATACACCAACTTCACAGCTCGTGGGAGGGAGGCGTTCTAATCGAACCAAAAAAATACACGGAAAATGGTTAATATGGATGAAAAAAAGATCAAACCAACAAACTTTGCTGAAATATCGCAAAAAATTTAGCTGTCATAATCATTTTAGACACTCGTAAGATTTCATTCAACGACTACTGAAATATCAGTAAGCATGTTGATTTTTGACTACATGCAGAAGCAAACTACGTTGATGTTTTTAGAATATCACAAAACCCTAATATTCCAACCCAAATTTGATACACCTTTTTGCCATGCGACCCAAACAGCAACAACAATACCATTTTAAATGGGGGCTATTCTCATGTGCGAAGGACCGAATGAGCGAAAACAAAATTAGCCGAAAGTCAATTTTTAAAAAGAAGCAATTGCCATTCAATTATATGAAGCAATATTTTGCTTCTTTCATAACGAAGCCCTTGAAATATAAAATTTGTTCCAATTCGGCGGCAGTCAGTGACAATTTGAAAATTTTGCATATTTCTGCCGTTTTTATATTCGGCCAATATCAATATTCAGTCCCTGGAAATGTTTACTTTCTTTTCAAATTTTAGATTACTGAAATCTGATTTCTAATTTCGCGCATTCGGTCCTTCGCGTAGGAGGGATTCCACCAATTTAAATCAGTTTTTTTTCTGTCACCAGTCTGTTCAATTGGTCTCAAAAAGCCGCTGATGTATGGAATTGTATGGTAATGATTTTTGTAGTATGGAATTGTATGATAAGCATTTTCGGTGTATGGAGGTCAACCCGGGTAGCTGCGCATCGAATATATTGTAGTTTTAAAAAGGGCCACCAACTACATACCTCACTTCACTCGAGTAAAAAGGAAATTAATTTTTTGAAATATATTTTTATGAAATTGATACTTCGAAAACCTATCAGTTATTAGACTGTAAGAACAAATTTGTAGATATGAATTACTATTTAAAGAGAATGAAACAAACACTAAGAGGGTTAAAATAGGAAGTATAAATGCCTGAATTTTATGGAAGTTTTGGAAACAAATAATATTTTACGAAATGAGAATAAAATTTATCAGCAATATTTTTAGGTTAGAAGAATCATTTTATTAAACATTAAGAAGATAAGGTTAGTTTTATAAATGTTTATTACCTATATTATCATCAAATGACTGCGCAAGTGTGCGATTGTTAAAACTGTTGAGACACTAAGAAAAGAGATACAAATTTAAAGGAATGGACAACTAATCATTGGTTCCATGGTTCTAAATGGGTAACTTTCCCAACTCCTGCCTGTAGATTTCTAGGGTCTCTTTATCGAACAGAACAAATATCACTGTCTTTAGATGCTGGTTCGGGGTTCCTCGGAGGTACATGTGAATTGCTCGCAAGATAGTCTGAGCCGCCTCCTGTTTTGGCCATCCTGCATTTCCGCTACCGATACAAGGCAGTGCAATCGTCCCATACTTTTCCCGCTCGGCTAGGTTCAGCAAATTGTGGATCTGAGTTTCCATATCTTGGTGACATTTAGTTCCCCCGTGCGAAGGCCCATTGACATGTATAATGTAACTCGCTTTAATGTTAAAAGCGGGACCTGCGACCGCGCCCAGGCTGGGAATCGATCCATATTGCTGTCTCAAAGTATCAATTGCTGCGCTTAGTTGTCGACCGCCTTTTCGCATCAGAGCTGAGCCTACTTGTCCTCCGAAGCTGAAACCGCCAGCCGAGGGGTGCACAACTGCGTCTGCGACCATGCTTGTAATTGTTCCGTGCAGAACTGACAGCTTCTGACCGGTCTCGCCTATGATTCTTTCAGACAAGGTTGTGACCACGGACGAGTCTTGCTTCTGAAGAGCCACACCTCCTCTAGCTTTTCCTGAAATTAAGAACCGATATGTTCATCTCAAGTAAAAACTGAATAAGAAACCATGCAAATCAAGTTTTTTAATCAATTTTGCAAAACGGTTATAAATCAAATACCTGCTCTTTTATTTTAAAGCCGAGTCATTATCTGGATGCACATTTTCGTGAAAACTTTTTGAAAGGATACAGATGTATGATAATTGATGTAAAAAGCTGAAGAAATCTCAAATGAAATTCTTTGCAAGCAATCGCAAATAAAATATTTAAAGATGTATTATTGAAATTTGTCACCCATTTTCATGTATTTTTATTATAACTAAGTTGTTAAAAACAATTCAACGCTACCTGGCCCACCACCGCTGCTTCCACTGACTGTCTTTACATTCAACTGTTTGCCCACTGGCTTTCTTGCAGCTGGAACTTTTTTAGCCGGCGTCTTCTGAGCCACTGGGACTGCAGCTTTTGCTGGCAATTTTCCCTTCTGGCTAGGCAGCAGCTCAGTGTGAATTCTGGGCAACACTCCGCCCTGTGGAATAGTCACATTCTTCAGCAGCTCGTTCAGCTCTTCGTCATTGTAGACAGCCAGGAGAATCTGCCTAGGAGTGATTCTTTTCACTTTCATTTCTTTCGCGGCATTGCCAGCTAGTTCTAGAATCTCAGCACAGAGGTACTCGATCACCGCTGCAAAATATACAGGAGTTCCCGCACTGTATCGGAACTTGTGACTATTCATCAGTCGGAACTTCCTGAGGATTCGGCCGACAGGAAACACGAGTCCTGCTCTGGCAGAGCGAGATATGGACTTTGGGGCGGATGCTGCTCCCTTTTTAGCAGCTGGGGCTTTGCCTACCATTTTAAAATCTGAAATGAAAAATCATTTGCTCTCTTTAAATGTATAGCCCATTAGTTTGTAAGCTGCACAGGAAAAAAATCATTATTAAGCAATAAATGTAGTATTTTTAAAAAAATTTTAATAATAAAGATTTAAATTCGTTGAAAAAAACTAGCAGGAACTAAATCATTTGCATACAAAAATCTCATTTTGCTTGAATATCAGTTTGAATTTATTCATCTGAGTATCTTGAACACTCAAACGATTTGGCTTCATAAGACATCGATTTAGAATGAATCTTAGCAATACTATTTGCGAATTTTTCGTTTTAATGCCATGTAACAATAAGGCCATCGAGACACAACCAAGAATCAGGTTACAAAAATAGTTAACAAAACGGCGTGACGAAAAAGTAAATTTGAGGTGAAACGTGACCTAATTGAAGTGTAAGCAAAGCCTTTGACGAACCTTGAAAAGTAAATGTTTATTTACAGTGTTTTCATGATTATGAACATTAAATATATATTTTGCTTTGTATGTACAGAAAACGCTTATTTACAGTGTTTTCATGATTATGAACATTAAATATATATTTTGCTTTGTATGTACAGAAAACGCTTATACAAATTTAAAAATACAGCTAATTTTTACACGTTCAACAAACAGGATCATTACACAGCACAGTGAACTAAATCGATTTAAGAAAGTGCAGAACATTCACTTCAAATGGTTTTTGCTCGAAGTCAGAAAATCCAAAATAATTGAAGCCGAAATCCTCTCCTCGCTTTTTCAGAGTTTGCAAAATTGAAGCAACTTGTTCCGGTTTCAAGTCTATAATATACTTCGGACTTTCAACCAGCACTGTACTTTTTTGCTTCAAAATATTGGTCAAACTTTCGTCCAAGAAACTTGCACCGTCACTTGCCACATGTACTAAGTCGAAACTGTTTTTGAATTTCTCTTTTGTCAAGAAATATTTCATGTCTTTTCCGTATATAAATTTAACAGACACGTTTGAAAAATCATCCGTGAGCAAAGTGTCCGATTCAGTTTCATTTTCTTCGTCAACTTCTGTAAGATTTGCTTCTTCGATTATTTTTTTGTGACATTTCAACTTTTTTAGCAACTCCTGTAGATTATGCGTTGCAACATCTAGTGAATTATGTATGTACATATTATTAGCTTTTTTGTACAAATCTTCATTTTCGGTTTCGATTCCGAAACCAATAAACGGTCCCGTAACGATGTCTCCGAAGTACCCTCGTTTCATAACTCGGTCAGCTCTCGCGTCGGTTACTACAATAGGCGAGGAAGTCGTTCGGTTCGGCACATTGTAATCGCCCGAGCGGCTCTCAAACGCAACTCCCTTGCTGCGGAACGACTCGTATTCCTCTTTATGAATGACCTTCGCACCCCTTTCGACAAGTCTCATAATTCGGTCCCAGTCAAAAGTATTCTCTTTCACGTCATAACGTGGTCCCAGATACTCACGGTTTCTGTAATCCCACATTTTGTGTATCTGAAAGTTGTGATTATCAGTCGACCTCCAAAACTTCAACGTACCTTCAAGGTAATCGCGTTCTTTGTGTTTCAGAATCGAGAGATCGTAAATAGGAAATAATTCCTTACATTGGTCTAAATCTGTGACCGCTTCTATGAATTTCGCCGATTGTTGACTAACATACTCGGCTGTTGGATTTCGCAGTAAGGAATTGCCGTACAGTTCCAGAAACGTTTCAATCTTTTCTTGAAGACCAAAAGATGCGTCCAAGATCACATTCAATAAAAGCATATACCTTCCAACTTGCTCCACAAAGGGTTCCAGAACATAAAAGTTTATCTTGGTCCGACTTTGAGACTGGTTCTTGGGATCACATAGATTACATAGCGTGTTAATGATGTTTCTGGGGTCGTGGTTATTGACCAGCAGAATATTAACTTCAGAATGCGTGTCTCCTTTGTCATTATTGATTTCCCTACTAGGAAGATAGTCTATAAGGTTCAAAGCAGGTGAGAACCCCCACCAACTGATGTTCCCATAACCATCCATTACTGGCCTGAAAAAAAAAAGAATTTTATATCACCGATATTCATTCATGATTCCAAATATATTCCAGGTTGATAAAAAACTGGAAGCTTTATTTGAATTATTTTTCCTGCAGTAAATGGACATTTAAGTTTATGCGTACACTTCGCCAAAAAAATGACTCGGGTTTTCCAATATATCCTGGATTGCCCATTTGTTGCTGTATCGACACAATTCCGACCCGCAATCAGTTCTCTTTTCGCGTCTGACTAAGATGGCTTGGACATCGCCTCATAGTTTTAACTAGAATTGAATGGCAAGATTGATTTCTCATCAATTGACCAGATACTTATTCTCCTTCAAAAACTTGGACACTTTTGGTCCGTGGTCGCCTTGCAGTTCAATTTTTCCCTCGGTGACCTCCCCGCCAGTCCCAAACTTCGACTTCATCAACTTCAAAAGAGCAGCGGCGTCACCCGATACATTCGATATAATGGTGACCTTTCGTGGACAGATGATACACAATTTGGAAATTTTTATATTCAGAACTAAATTTTGTGCAAATAGAAATTAAACATTCTAGTCTTATCTAGGCAACATTTTCCGAGCACCACAGATGGGAACTAGTTCAGAACTTAAATATGTGCAATTAATAGCCACATATATAAAAACCTTGTAATGTACAATGGTATCAATACGACAGATCACAATTTGCCACAACAACAGACGAACTTAAATCGATATCAAGCAATTAATTAAACTATGTCTTTCTGCATTTTCATGCGTGGTTAAGTACTATCTTCCGCTGGTAACATGAATTTGCCTTATAATTTATCTTAAAATTACTGACATTCATATAAATTCTTTTTTTAAAATAGTTTTAACTGTATTTTAAGGCCTAACGCATTTTAATTACGCTTCCAGTTGAGTTAACCCATTCTCCACGTCCTTCCTATTGAACTCAATTGCACCCTTCCTCAGAGGCGGATTTACGTGGGAGGGCACCTTTGGTATTACTTTATAACATCCATTTTAGGCCAATCAACTCTTAATTTTTTCCAAAAGCACTGGCGGCGCCAATATATCCTAATTTTGAAGGGTAGGACGTGCCGAAAAAAAAATTGTTTGAACCGGCTTTTTTGGCCCGTTTTTTTTTCAAAATTTTGACTGCAGCGCAAATATTTTGGTCAAAATAGTCTGATTTTTTTTGAAACCCCCCCCTCCCCCCCCTCGAGAAAATCCTACTTCATTTGTCCTTAGTTATTTCTCAGATGTTGAATCGGTTAATCTTTCATGCGCTTTCAAATGATTAGAAATGTCTTAACTATTATTTAGGATACGTTTGCATGATTCAATTATTGTATCATCATATCGGTATTGAATCAAAGTCAACACCTTCCGACCTCCAAAGCTGTTCTCAACAGTTACGGGTGCATTACCCTTTTTTGTGCGCTTGATTGAACAGGTCTGTTTGGGCTCTGATGATGAAGTAGGTTGTGGCTCCGAGTTCGATGACTGTTCATTTGGAAACAGGAAACTCCCAAGATTTAACTGAGGAGCTGGTTTGCTGTCACTCTCACCATCATTTGCAGCTAGATTTTTAGATTTCTTTTTTGGTCCCATTTTTACTTCTGAAAAAATTAAAATTAGGGGCCTAAATGGACGTGAACTATAATATAAGTTGAAACGGGAACATCCCGAATGAATATCATGACAATAATTTATCTTCTTGTGCATATGATCTTGTATAGATTATTTTGACAATCAAAATTTAACCCCATTTAATCTAACATCGTGCATTTGTATACCCAGTAATTTCAATCCATAACAATATAATTCCTCGACAATTTAACTCCAATTTTATAACATAACACCGAAAGAACTCCTGCATGAAAACCTGGTCTTAACTCCTAATTTGGTCATAAAAACACGGAATTTATCCTGCAAAAATTACGCGCCAGATTCAGTAACTTGCTTTTATTGCAGCTATACACACTAAAATAGCTTTTTTGGAATCATGAAGACTCTCATCAATAAATTCATAGATGATTTTCCACGAGATGTTTCACTACACCAATTAGATTTTAAAAAACTTTCTTACCTCAACTTTGGTAATTCACACCAATTTTTAAAATTAAATCGATTTTGAAAAACTCGTTTTATCCTGCACTGCACTTACAAACACAAACAAGAGCGAAAAACATATGATTTTTTTTTCTATGCACTCTTTCAACAAAGAACCAGCCGATTCCTGTAGCGTCAAGTCACAAAATTTAGTTCATCGAAAAACGAGTTCACAGAAAACTGCATTTGACTTAAGTATCAAATATATGTCCAGCATCTGCCTTTACAAAAACAAATATCTAATCGAGACGAGTGAAAAGATAACCATGTCATTTCCTAGGGAAAACCTGAAGCCCAAAACGTCAACAAATCAGAGAGAAGGAGAGAGAGAGAGAGCAGAGTGTAACAAGGTGTAAATGCCGGTATGAACTTATTCCGGTATGATCCTGAGCGAACATTTTTTGTGCGGTCACGTCCATACGTCCATATTTGAAAAAACTCTCTTCCAGGCGGGCCGATAGAATCAATCAAAATACTCCCAAATATTCGATCAGCTTTAGTCAAACCATATTACTAAGAAGAAGAAAAAGAATTTATTTCCCCATATAGTTGATAATACCAGCATGAATTTATTTAAATTATTAAATCAACAAATGGAGGGGAAAGACAAAAGGCGCAGTATGTGCCTACTTGACGTCTACCCGTTGAACAAATTATGATTGCAATTAAGTAATAAAGATAAATTTATATTCGAATAAATATAGGATTGTGGGGGAAAATTAAGCCCTCATTAAGGAATAGTTATTACATCTAGTCCTGTCATTTCGGTCAATTCTCATTCCAGCTGACGAACTAAGAATATGAGAAATTATATGAAAAAAAAATTTTTTTTTCATTTTTTTTAATTTTCAAAAAAATGCGATATCTCGGAAACTACAAGGATTTGGAGGCTCATATTTTCAGCATAGAATCGCAACCCTAGAATAGTTGTTTGATAGCATTTAGCCAGCGGCTACCATTTTTAAAAAATAAAAATTCAAAGAAATATGTTTTGCACCAACTCGTAATTGCCACATATGAAATTATCTTTAAATTTATGGACGAAACTGTATTCTTCATTTTTTGACATCAATCCAATATTTTCAGGTAAGAGCTTATTTATACTCATAATAACTTTGAACCCCTATTAGTCAAAGAACATGATTTTACCTTATTCTTACAGAATGGAGGAACAAATATTCGACCTTTTTGAAATTCGCGTATTATAGGCAAAATTTTTAAAAGTAAACAAAGAATTGAGAAAACAAGTTGGATGTTTTAGATTTAGTGATCGTAAACAAAACTTCATCAAATCGTACACATATAGCTCATGAACTGTTAGTATTTTGTTATCAGAAAAGAATTTAGTAATGGTATCAACTTTCCTTTTGAAGCAGATCATGCGAACAATTTTTCGTTGCATATTCAAAATTGGGCTTAAAAATGAAAAACTCATGCCGCCGAAGACGAGCAAGCCATATTGTATTATTGGCTTGATATTCGACATATAGTATTTCAGTAGGATGGATCTTGGTACATAATGTCTCATTTTTGATATTACACCACAGAGACGACCTAGTTTTGATTGAATATTCTGTGTATGGTGAAAAAATTTAAGCTTATCATCTACAATGACACCTAGGTATTTGCAAAAAGATTTTGGCTGAAAAGTAAAATCATGTATATCAATAGAAAGATTGGAACTAAACAGCTTGAATATACGCTTTTCCCACCACCAAAACCGAAAAAACTTCAATCGCTTTTTGGAGGCCTTGTTTGCGTTAGCACATAACTGCAAGCCTGGAAAAATTCTGATTGACTTCAAGCAAGCTGCGGTTCAGTCCTTCCAAAAATCCCCGGAACATGCTATATTTGATCAGAAAAGCCTATGAGATGAACGTCTCAGAAATTTAGACCAGCTGTTTTTCTATTTCGGCTCCACTTCTACAGAAAGCATGATACAGAAAGCAAGAGATATTGCGTTTTAAACAAACGAATTCAAAATATTTCTATCATGTACGAAGATAAACTGATCTGTAAATTTTGTTTTAATCAGTATAAATGTTCCCTACACTTCGCTTGATTCGCTTTTAATTGAAAAATTAATTCTTTCTCTAAGAGTTTTTATTTTTTCACTTTTTTGAAAACCTAGAAAACGCACTGAACGCAATAACTTGAATCGTGCAACTCGCAACTTAATCCCAGTAGAACCACCATTATGATGGCATCTTAAATTGAGGCAATGGGCTGGCAAACCCTTCAAGTAATCTCATGGAATAAGAAGTTTCAAAACATCCTCTATTTTTGATAGTTTACCTGCATCAAATATGTTTCTGCAACCATCATGATTATCGCGTGGGTAAAACTAATTTATATTTTCTACTCGCAAAAGTGGGCTTATTGAGAGACAGGCCAGACTTTAACATGGTATCAAAAGTTCCCTAAAAGGGTCAGCTGACATCAAGAATGCGAAACCCACACAATGGGAAAACCACGGGTACAACTTGCTGTTAATCAGAATCACATCTTTTCAGCTTGTTTAGGCCAATTCTCGACTGAACAAGTTCCATTCGCAATGCAGTTTTGTAATACCAGAGAGCATTATTAGGTCTAACTTGAAACCAAAAAGCATGCAAATCAAGTGACTATTGAACTTAAATTGACCATTTAATAGCATGAAGAATCCTTTCATCTAACAAAGGTCAAAGATAAGAACATGAATGAGTTGTGATGACGTGAATAAAGGTTGTCAGTTGAAGTCAATGAAGTGAAGTGCAACACAGCTACCATTCAAAGAAGCTTAAGCCCACATCTAAAAATTAGACAGTCAGAACTACAGTGGAGGTACATGACCAAGTAATCACTGTTGCTTGTCACAATTTCATAGCAAAATAGATTTAGTTATTGCATCAAAATTAGCTGTTGTCTTCTCAAAACATAATCTGTGACCACCACCTTGTCTCAAAGCCTAATTTTGCGACAATTACATAGAGGTTGAGTCAACTGGCAAAAACAGGTACATCACAGAAACGGCGTACATAATGCGTGATATAGCATGCTGCCGCTTTAGAGAAAAATAATTTGATGTTTTTGAACTATAAATCACCAATTAGTTCAAATGCTCTCTACATACAGGCAAGAATCACAGAAATGAAGCTTGGAGCACTTAGCAGATATACGAAAAAAAAAACGACTAAGACAGGAAATATGAAAGCAAATACATCAAATTTTTAGAAACCTGAAAATAGTTTGGAAAAAGTGTGATTTGATTGGAAGTTCTGCGCTACTTGCCCAGGCATCGGACATTTTTAGTCATAATAAAGACTTATCTGATTCGTAACAAATACATATTTAAAAAAATCTGATTTATTTTCTAAAAAGCGCTTATCTGTAAAATGAACACATTTTAGTGAGCAGAATAGTTTTTAAGCATACAAAGAGAAAACACTCTGCTAATCATGAACGTAAAGCTTTCGCTCTTTGAAAATATTGTAAGCTCATATTCAAAAGGGAAGTAAAAAAATACGAGTCTGGAAGATTTCATTTTTTATTTGATGGGCGGCATTTTCAGAGGCAAACCCAAATCAAATCGAAGTTACTCGGTATTTCATCATTACATCTAAGTCTTTTATCGCAGAAAAAATCAATGATCAATGCACATCTGATCAACGCTCATTCAAATGGCTGAATGAGTGAAAATGATGATAACATTTCGCATAAATGAAACGGAAGCTGCAAGACTTCAGAAATTTAGAATTCCTCTTGGCAATATGACAACACATCCTTGAGAATAACTGGACACTGGAAGGGAGCATTTTTTTCACTGTGAAAGGATAGCTAATAAGTTGGTAACAAGAATTCGTTGGTATTACCGAGCAACTACGTGAACAAAAAGGGAATTCTAAAGCAACAAAGACTGATGACAATGATGATGAAAACTACTGAACACCCGTAAACCTTTAATCATACTAGTGAGCTTATTGAAATCAGATCAGACCAGAAAAAATCATAGCTTCAAACCTTATCATAAATTATCACACAATTTGATCACAGCAAATCAATAGTATCCAAAAGAACGTCATCATTAACACGTCACACAAGCCATAAAGATCATGAAAAAAAATACTTGACCATAATTGGAGGCCAATGGTTCCTTAAAAGCCACTACTAAATTACTGAAGACACAAAAAACTTCCATTCAGCTTGGAGGAGTCAGGACTAACCTCCCATTCAACTTAAAATTTAATTCAGTGTTCCGAACAGGCTCGAAAAATGAGGCGGAACTATGGCGTCGGGTTTTTCCCTAAGTATTCTAGTAAATCTCAAAAAAAAAGCTCGCAGGTCAAGAGCGGTATCAAATTTAAGCCATTTCAGTCCTATGAGAAATTTTTCAGAAAATATATACTATGCTGGCTTTTTTTCAGTTAATTTTCGACTTTCTAACTAACTGTTTTTCTCTGAATTTTTTTTATCATCTGAAAAATAATGTTTTCCGGAGCTCAAATAAAGAAAAACTAGCGCATAACGCACCTCCGGTGCTTCTAATTTTTGACAACTTATTAAAAAACCGCGTATATTGGTAGCATCTTTTGAATGTATTCTGACATCACCCAATTACAGGGTTGGTAATTTCAAACTTTGTTAAGTCTTTTATATTTAAGTTTTTTTAATTCAAATTTTGAAAAACCATAAAACTAAGTGAAGTTTTTTATATCTAAGTTCTTTGAAAAATTCAAAATTATATAAAAAACGTCACATCTCGGAAACTAAAAGCAATTCAGCATTCGCATTTGGACGCAAGATTTGCAGCTCTTGAGAGCGATCTCGCAGTACCCAACTACAGCCTTGGAAATTTCAAATTTTGAGAAACTTTAAATTTAAGTTTTCTACAGTTTTTTTTCATAAACAATAGAAAACGTCATTTCTCAAAAACTACAATGATTTGAAAAGTAATACTTCGAGATGAGATTCGCAAGCCCTGAGGGTACTATAACAGCCCCTAGCTACAGGGTTAGAATTTCAAATTTTCAAAAAAAAATCGAAATTGAAGTTTTCTGAAAATTTTATGAGAAAACCACAAAAAATGTCTTATCTTGAAAACTACAAAAATTTGAGCAGTCACATTTGGAGGCAAAAATTGCAACTCCTGGGAGTCCCCTTGCAGAGACTCACTATAGAGATGATAAATACAAATTTTGTGATATTTTTTACATCTGAGTTCTTTGAACATTTTTTGAAAATTGACCTAACAACTGTCGCATCTTGGAAACTACGAGCATTCGCGCAGTCACATTTGAACGCAAAATTAGCAACTAAGAACTCCTGGGAGTACTCTAACAGAAGCCAATTACACGGATGAGTTTTCTGAAAAATTAAAAGAAGAAATCATATAACACATCATATCTCGAAAACTACAAGAAATGTAGCAAACATATTTGGAGGCAAGAATCACAATCCTTAGAGGTAATCTGACAGCACCCCACTACAGGGTTGGGAATTTCAAATTTTGTGAATTACTTGTAAATTTGAGTTTGCTGGAAACTATTGGGTTGCTGATTTTAAACTCGGTGAAATAAACACTGAACTGAAAATGGGAAATCGAAAAAATCTTGACCATTGCAATATACTATATAGCTTGAACGTGCAAAAACTTTTTCATTAAACATGCAAAAAGAATACGTTGAAAAAGCATAAACATGTCCAGATAGTGAAGGCTGCACTTTAATATATAATAGATTTCACCTAAAATCATTTTTCGTAGAGTTATGGGGGTTTGAAAATAGCTAATTTGGAACAATTTACGTGCAAAATACTGCGTTCTTATAACATGAGCAAGCGGTGGATTAAATCATTCCAAATTGAATTGAGGCAAGGCATTTGATCATACTTCTAGGATACGAGACGCTAAAACAGCCCTTTGTATTTTACAGAGAAAGAGAGAATAAAAAAAATTCCGACTAATTTATCAATTGTTCGTTTTTGACATTAAAGTGCAGTATGAAGCATTCAAGGCTTCGCTCTGATATAACATCTATTTTTGATTTTTAGTTCGAATTTCACCTCAATTTCAGATTGCTTTCACTCCCCCAACTGACACGAATTATTTTATATGCTAGCTCTTTTCTTCTATTTGGAGCTTAAGCCGAGCCCTTTAGAATCCAGACCTGCCAAGAAAAAAATTGTCAAAATTTTCAATTAAAACGTTTTTGCTCAATTAATCGCACGCGGATCTTTCACTGCTACTTGCACAGCAACCGGGTAAATTTTTTGTTCCGGTTTTCGAAGAAAGTAAGAAATATATATGCTTGGTGATTTTTATTCAGACCTATCTGTATCGGTGATCGAACTAATAACCTTTTATTGACCGAAATTGTTCATGCACCCAGGGAGCCATCGACTTCTGAGTTCAAACATAGAAAAATATTTTACCTGATATCTTTTTGCTGAGATCGTGGGATTTAAAAATACCAAAAAGTTTCTGAACAAATTTATGTGCGTTTAGAAGATTTTATATACGTTGAAAGCCTATTGCAATATATTTACGCTTAGCGAATAATCCCGCACTAAAAATCATTCCAAACTGAAGCGAGGTAAACTAATTCTTCAAATTAATTTCCTATGCTATTCAATTTTTATCACAACTATTTGAAGAATTGGCTGTTGGAGGACAAAAACAAAACAATTAAAAATTTACAGTTATCAAATTTCTCTCCAACTAAACTATTCGAGACTATTTACAAGGCAGTCGTCGGAAAATTCAAGGCTTTGCCCTCATATACAATCAGTCTTATTTGGATTTTAAATTTTCAAATCGAAGAGTCTGCATCAATGATAAACACAGTGAGACAAAAGGAGTTTCGCGATTAAAACAAGTACGAAACGAACATGCCAGCTAAGAATGTCCTTAATACAAATTTACAGACTTAGCTTATTGGTATGGCGTTTGCTTTAGCTTGACCTTTGTCTTCAGGTTTACCACAGCCTAGCTCATTCCGGATTTAATTACAATAGTGGTACCACGTGAAAGTTCGAGTAGCAAAAAGAGCTTCGCTCAACAACTTACGCTTTGATAATGACCTGAAAAAACTTCGAGTTCAATTCGAGATGTTCAAATTATCAAAAGCTAGCTTCTACAATGACCAGGAAAGACTATAACATTTGTATGGGGTACACCTCTTATCCTGAATCTCTCTCTCTCTCTCTTTCGAATGAAAAACTTTTTTCATTGGTAATTTTCAACTAAGGCTGCATTAGGATATTCATAAATTGTGAAAGAAAACAGCAAAATATCGATATTGTGAAGCAGCATTTTAACATAATCATTCGCCAGCATACAAATATATAAAAACATTTACATTTCATAAACAACAAAATTTAAACTAAAGAACATTGTTAGACTTGGACAAAGTTCAATTCTAAAAGTTTTGGCTGGCACAAAGACTGACATGGATGTGAATGTGATACAAGAACTAGCAGTCTGAGTAAGCAGGAACAAAGATTGAGGTATGATTACACAAAACGTAGAAGATAAGAGCACCGAAGAAGGATCCGGCTTGGGTTACTGCACCGTACAGGAAGAGATGTTCCTTGCCTCGTGATTTACACGCGTTCGCTTGCACCACCCGTGCAACAGTCGCTACGGTCTTGAAAAACACCCAGAGAACACCTACGGCCATCGCGCCTGACACTTGGCCAGTCATGGGGGGTGCAGTGATTGCAAAACAGGTGAGAACAACTGACGAAATAACGGTCAGTAAGGTAGACACGCCACTGAGTGTTAGACTATTTGTCAAAGGCAAGAACATGAGTATTATACACGTGACAGGGTTGGCAATGTTTCCGATATTTGAAATCACCAGCATTTCTTCGTTTCCATATGGCAGCAAAATGTAGGTGGAAATGGACGGCAGAGCACCATTGAAGAGGAAACAGACACTAAATAGAAATGCAAAGTGGGCCAAATCAGACTGAGTCACAACTGTTCCCGCTACAGAATGTATGAAAGTGGAGCTGCTATTCGTCGTCGGAACCTCTATTCTGATCGGTTCAGTCACCACATTATTCTCTTCATCTTGAGGCTCCAGGTGAAAATCCACAGAATATTCGAATGTTCCCAGCATGTCTGAGTTCCTCATTGCAGTATGTCCCGCTGTGGGAGCCGAATGGTCTTTAGAGCTAATCAGGGTTTTAAGAGGGTCCATTTCTCGGTCATAGTTCGAATCATCGCTTCCGTACTCGCTGGGATTCGAACTTCGATTGCTAGTAGAACTACTCCCGTTTCTTTTTACGATTGTCAGCGTAGGATTTTGACTTCCGGGACTCGGTAGAAGATTTATGATGAAAAATGCCACGCCACTTATCAGAAACAGGACAAATATTAGCAAAAAGTAGGTTTTCTCTGAGAAATGAGCGTTTGTGAAACAGTATGTTGAGTTCGAAGGAGCTTCTGTCGTGTTTCCGGACAAGCTCTCGTGTGTTGTTGATTGAGCTGAGACTACTTTTTCGGTTCCCGCATTTTGAGCCAGTGCCAGAACACTTGGAATTAGTCCAGAAAACCCTTCTCCAATCATCAGAGAAACTATGAATTTTTCTGGGAACTTGGCCATGAATGGAAAATATGTAACTGATGATGTGCAATCGACAGCTGCAAGGGTGAAGGTGAACATCAGAAGATACAAACTGTGAGGTTTTCCACCGAATGTTTCCGTTTTGTCCCAGAAAAATGCGAGGAGCACTGAAGACATGCATCCTATAGCTAGGATCACATATATCACGACATGCTCTGTGTGTCTAAACTTTCTCAACCTGCCTGCGATTACATACAGGAAAGGGATGATATTTCCCAGCTGGATTGTCAGGGTTAGACTCGAAGCCAGATTCCAGCTTTCCGGGGCTGTCTGAACGAGGAATGAGAGTTCTGAGAAGATTCCATTGATGGCGAGCCACGATCCGGTTCCGAAGATGGCAAAGAGTAGGTGGAACAACCAGCTGTATGGCTTGGACATACTTCCGTTGTTTTTGAGATTTCTCGTTGGTGGCTTATAGCACATTAACTGTTGGATCTGAATTATCACTATCAAAACTAGTGGATGCTGGTTTGTAGATTACTATACTGAACTTATGGATCGGATAAATTCGGACAAGGTTCAAATTAAAATTAGACCAGTTTCCGATCTGGGAAGGGCAAAGGATGTTTACGAAATGAATAAAGTCGTGACTATTCGTTCGCTTCAAAGTGTGAGTTCAAACCGAGAAAATCAAATCGAGAAATACAATTCGAATTTGATGCAAATTAATTTTGTGATGAAAACAAAGATTCGAATCAAACAAACTTTTCTAACTGATCCAACTATTTAGCATAAATAGTAATGTTTAATATGGACTTTGAAACTAGCACCACAAGACAAGAAACAACCACAATCTCCCGAGCAAGCGAAGATAATAAAATCGTGTCGGCAAATTTGTTCACGTCGATTTGTTACTTCAGGTGAAGGGACACCACACCGTATGAATATGACGAGCGTCTTTCTGATCGAAAATTTAACTACAGAATACTTCATTTATTACTACCACGACCAATAGGCTATTTTTGCGAAGTCTAGTAAGTCGCTGTCTACTTGAACAAACGTGAACACTTTGTGAACAAATTCCGTCCGATTACTAAACAGCACAAAGCTGAAGATATGTAATTGGAATGACGCAATTTCACTCGGAGTATAAATGCAGTATTTTTCAACAAAAAATTGTTTTCACGCTTTTCCAAACGGCGTGATCAAATTCACGAATAATTTCCGAATGGACCGACAAATAAATTAGAATCACTAGCAGACAATGGTAAAACTGAAGAACTGGAAATTACGCAAGCATTGTCAATTCCTAAGAAGGGAAATTTCAATTTTCATATTTATTTAATAGATCCCAAGCTCTGAAAATAGATATGATATTTGCCTATTTTAACCGTTGATCTCTTCAAATCACAAGGAACAAACAACCCTCAATACCAATATTTGCGATAAAAACTGACTGGATTCAAAAATTGATTAGTAAGAGTCGGCTTCTGATATTTTTGACCGCAGTCCGAATATTAATTCAACGTAACGAACATAAATGGTACATTCGAATGAACTTTTGATGATGGTTCATGAACTGAAGCGTCGTAAAATATTTACTGGCTCAAGAAGCAGAGGTTAAAACAGAACAAGACTTAATATTGACAAGAATCACAGCCACGAAAACTCATGGTCATGACAATCTTATGAAAAAGTTATCTTTATCTTCAACAATAATAAATAGTAAATAAATACTAAACAGCAAACTTATTCTAATGTTAATGAAAGTCTACCGCTGATTTGAAACGTGAACAGTAATCAGCGATCCTTTTAAAGTATAAACTTTCAAAATTGTCAGGTTGAATGAAGACAAGACTGTGAACAATTATTTGTTCATGTGTCTCAGAGATTTGTTCACGCAGAAGGAAATATTATTGATGATTGTATGACGTTCGTTGGTGAACTCCTTGTAACTTTGTTCTGTCTCAGGAGCTCATTAGAGGGAAACAACAGACGTCTTCAAACAATCAACTAAAAGTGGGAACCAATAGCAATATAGCACACAGCAAGCAGAGCACGCAATCGCTTCCCATTTCCTTAGTATGTACACGAAGAATGGACACAACAAGATTCACGTGGGAATCTATCTCGGAAAAGAAAAATAACAACAAAGCATCGTCGCTTTTTTTGAAGATAGTCGTTAAACATAATAAAGGAAGGGTGACCGTGTTTCTCAAAACTTCCAAAACAGGGGTTTTTAAAAAAGGGTTTCTCATAATATTTTAGCAATCATTTTTAAAATTTTTGTTCCTATTTGAATTAAAAACCACAGCTAAGAAAAACTGTTGTCTGAAATGATGATCTATTAGCAAAAAAGACACACCAGAAACACAATCGACGGAGTTTAATGAAAATTGAAGAACAATTATCGAGCGGCAACTGAGCCGACAAAACCCAATAGTAAGTTCCAGTAGAGCCCAGCACAAAATCATTGTCATGAAAAACTTTGCACAATAAATTCGATTCTAAGACTTTTAATATTTTGTGCAATCAAGAAGCATAAAAAATCAAGAAGCAAAAAATTAGGTCACGAAAACGATAAAATATAAGCCGAAATGAATTGGGACGCTTTAAGTTTAGAAGTGAAACAAAAGGAAATACAAGGTCAAGGTAGAAAAAATTACAAATTGCAGGAGTAAATCAAAGCATTAAAAGCAACTACAATGAAAATTGCGCACAACAACAAAAAAGGATGAGGCAACTCAGCCGACAAAACAACTCAGCCGACAAGTCGTTTTTCAGGCGACAAAAGGCAACTCAAATAACAAGCTGACAATTTTATTTGAAAAAAGATATTTCCCGTAAAAAACAGGCCTTGACCAAATTCGAAACCAGGACTTTTGCCGTCCCAAGCGTATTTGTTACCTCCAGGCTAAACGAGCCAGTCTCTCAGAAATAGAATTCATTAAAACCCAGGTACCACCAGGAAATGACTCCAAATGAGACCTGTGAACAAAGTAATTGACGGACAAAAGTCTAGTACCCGGTTTCGATACCTTTGATAATCGCAAGTGTAATCAGCAAAACATAATGTAAGTCTTTTAAAATAAATGTCTTCGGAAAAAATATTACACTGTTCAAACCACGACTGAAAGACCATAAATATGATAATACACTCGATCCGTTCCGATAAAATTTTGTGGAACCTGATTTTGCGTGAAAAACAAAACAAAAACACATCCGAATACAAAATTCTTCCCCATGTTCCATGATCGAAAAAACAAGAACATAGCCATCAACAACAGAACACTGAAAAAAAGTCAATTAACTCAAAGAAGCCGAAAAACTAATTGAATATTTTCTGGACATTTCTGAATATACATCACGTTAGTTCTTTAAATTTCCATACATCAAAAATCACTTTTGATTAAACTTTTAAAAAAAACTAACACAATTAGAGAAAACATGTTCAATTGGTAAATTCTGCTGAAAATTGGTAAATTCTGCTGAAAACATGTTCAATTGGTAAAAACTAAAAGTATTTTCAAGCAATTTCCAATTTCGCAACTGGAGATTGTAATTTACCTTCCTCTCCTTTAGCACATGAATTTGATTTAATGTGAAAAGCGAAATTCAAAATTGAGCGTGAAAAAAACTTAAAAAATGACATGAGAGCTATGCAGTTTTGACCGTTCTGTCTCATTTCAACCATAAATGCTTTCGCTGAGCCAGCTCGTTTACCAGAAACATGATGTACCTAGCTACTTACATTTGAAATCCATATGTTCATTCTGAAATAATCACTAGCCCACGGCTACATTAATTAACAGGAGCTCGCCTTAGACCTCAAGGAACACGCCGAGTTCAGACAATACGTCGTCAGCATAGACAGAAACTTCAGCTATTTTAACATTCATTGGCGCCAAGATTCTGGTCTCGCCAGCATAGTAGGGGTAAACCCGAGGACATGTGAAGAGATCTACTGATCTAAGTCAGTGGCTTCCAACACCTATCTGAATTTGACTGCCTGAACGCCAGAATGTAGAGTGTCATCTGCACTTCTTCAAGCTCTCAAGCACCGTTTGTATCCTTTTTAACATTAAAAAACCAGATTGAAATTTTTTGGAATTATTCCTATTGTCGAAATTATCAAAACATATCAAACAAATAATAATTCAAACAAAGTTCATAGAAATTGTGAGTTCATAAAAAAATTAACCTTTTTCCGAAAAAATTAAAGAAAAAACACGAATGTTTGGAGAACGATGTTTTTTCAACGAATTTCTGGAAAAAAATACGTAGAAACATATTTGAAGCAAAAAAACGTAGTTTCCCATCGTTGGAAATATTTGTGCGGCCAAGTATTCCTTTAAAGGCGATTCGCGTAAAGGTCAATTGTAAAGGAACAGTTAATGACAATATTCATTTAACTCATGAATGTATTGTTCAGCCAGACTGAGAAAATTATCCAGGACAAAACAACCTTCAGCCTCACCAGAAATCAAACAACTGCCTGATGAATGTATTTTACTGTTTATTTCATTCAGATTGAGTTAATCAATTCAGAACGTTAAGATTAAGATTAAGACCATTTATCCACGGGGGAAAGGACCAACACAAGAGCTGTACAGCTCATCACGGCGAACCGCTGTTGCGCCCCTGCTTAAGAACTACATGCATTTTTTTTGGTTATTTTTCTGGGCTGGGTAACGTTGCCTCACCCGCAAGCAACGAGCACGTTTCAATATTCTTGCATCAGTAGAGCTGAGCTGATCTCATCTTTTTTTTCGAGAAAGCTGAAACAGAATGGGTGGGTAAGAGTTAGAGACACATTGCATCAGTTCTAAGCCAGCTCGTTCCGCTTCATGCCGCCGTCCTCTATAAAGAGCGATTTGTGAAAAAAAGCTATTTTGGTAGTCTCTCAAATCAAATTCACAAACAACAAAAATAAAACTGTTTTTTTTTTCTGGGCTGGGTAATGTTGCTTGACCTTCAAGCAACAAGCACTGATCATGGTGGGCCTCGAACATCCGACCTTTCGATTGAGAGGCGGAGACGTAACCACTTCACCACCGCTCCCCATTCATTAATTTCCTTAAGATACAGACGCTGAAAACAGCAATTAGTTGCTAAATTTTTACGAGTCCTGAAACACCCTGGACCACTAATGTGACCAATAAATCATTTCGAAGAGTCGTTTGACCATTCAAAAGAGTCGAAGTCATGAGTCATCTAGTCAACAAACTGGTACGAACTCTTATGGATGAATGTATTTATGGGGTGATCAAATCTGGGCTCACAACCATAATAAGAACATGTCTACAGAACATGAGTTGATGGCATCATCATGATCATCATATTCATGGGGTTGTTTAACCACCCTTATTGTGATCTAGATTGAAAGGTGCATGAAAGTATCTTGAGATGAAGAAAAACATGACCCCTATTCGGCAAATATGAGAGATACTTAGAAGCTGCTTCTCGGAGTATCTATATGTGCTCTCATAACACAGTTTACGTTTTAACATCACTAAAGTTACCAAAATTTGAAAAATTTTAGACAATTGATCAAGAATCCAATCATAATGCTCATTGTTCCCTCCACTGAAAATGGGGAAGATTTTAACTTTGTGATCGGGTAAGTTTTTTGTTTTTCCAGGAAAATAAACCGAATAATCATGAAAATGGGCCAAGTGCAGCATATTAAAGCCCAGGCAATTTTCCAAAAAAGTATTGTCTGTGTCACAAACAATCAAATGAAAGTTTTTGCATACTGTGCAAACAGTATGCAAAAAGTTTTGCAAACAGTGACGTGGAAACTATGTAATAACGCATAGAAGAGCCTTACAAATACCATTTATTTCCTTTTATTTATGAAGATGTTGAATAATAAATGTTTAAAAACATAATCTCGATTGTGCTCGATTGACTGACCATTTGCAGCCCTATCTTAAACAAAGCCAACATACAGTTGGAAAAAATCAATCAATGCAAGGAAACAGAAAAAAATACCTTAGAAATTCTAAGAAAAAAATAGATGGCCTTAATGCCCTATGAAAATTGAGAACGCTTTATTATTAACTGAGTTCTAAAAAATTGGATCGACAGGTAATTTTTTTATTTCGCCGGGGAACCGGATAATTAATTTCTACTGTCGAAACTAGAATTCTATCACGTTTTCCGTGACCTTTACACTTTCGCTGTTCGATAGTGGAGTTTGCCTTCATTTTAACAAGAAAATGAACTGAACTTAAAAAAAATCAGAAGTCAAAACGCGAAAAACTAAATTCCTGAGAAAACAAACGAAAAAAAATCATGGCAATCTAAATAAGTGTCTGAACTATGTTCATCGACTCTTAAAAACTGACCTGTTTTTTTTTTAAAAACTTAAACTTTCGAATTTCAAACTAAAAAGCTCCTTGAATTTCAAGAGCAATTTATAACTGACTTTTTTTGATAAAAACAACCCAATTTGATAAAAATTAATTATTAGGAACGCTTTTATTGCGCGGGGAAATCTAAAACTGAAAACCATTCTCGAAATTAGAAAACAATCACGTTCCTTTTGCGCGATTTCAGTTTTCATCATTGGAAGGTGCATTTTGCCTACCTTCAGCAAATGAACTTGAATTGATCTCAAAAAAGTACATATATCTAAGGGCATTCATACGTACGTTTATAAGAAAGAGTGCACTTATTTTGCTATCAGAGCATTTTAAAACTTTTCCTAAAAAACGTTAAAAAAATTATCAAGAACTATATAAGAGTCTGAACTACGTCAATCGACTTTTAACTAGCTTCTCACATGTACCAAAAGGACAGAACAATGTCATTGAAATGGTTTTAACTATTAATGCAAGCAACAAAAAATGATTATATTACAGACAAGTACACTTCAAAGAATCGGAATGTTACACAGCAAACGCAGTATTAGCAAAAAAGGAACCTTTTCAACTCTAAGTGGCTGATTTGTTTGCCTTTTGTTTTCTTCTGAATAGTCAATCATTACGGCTCATCAGACAGCAATGATTAAGGCACCAATAAAATCGCTTAGGTAAAGCAGACGATTGTGAAAATGAAGCAATTTGAAGCCAAAATGAAACTAAACCGCATA